TTCTACTGATCCTGTATCATTTAAGTTTAAATGCCTAGAACTTGAAGTGAATTTCGTGTAAGGCAAGACAATGTGTATTGTCTTTTGTGTTTCATGTAAGTTGAGCAAATGATGGCTATGCTGAAAGGGAAGAGATGCTCATTGAATCTTTTTGATCTGTTATATCGTAAATTTCTTCTGTCATGATTGGAAATGGCACACAAATTCCAAATTTTATCATCCTTCTGGGAAAGAAGTTGTTCCCTGTGAGGGTGGTGAGGCCCTGGCACAGGGTGCCCAGAGAAGCTGTGTCTACCCCATCCCTGGCAGTGTTCAAGGCCAGGATGGATGGGGCTTGGATTAACCTGGTCTAGTGGAAGGTGTCCCTGCTCATGGCAAGGGGTTGGAATTGGATGAGCTTTAAGGTCCTTTCTTGGTGATGTTTCCTCTGCTCCCAGATTCTAGTTTTGATGCATAAGTTAGGTCTTAAGTGACATAATTTTAAGCTACTACTGCAAAATATATGTATGCAAAATAATGCGGTCTAATCAAATAAATAATTGTTTGTTCTCTTGCATTATTATTCCGGTGTTATATGAGCTTGAAATGGCTCTTGGTTCCATTAAGACTCAAAGAGTGTTTTAAAAATCTGTGCACAATCCCAACAGTTACCAATTCTAAGTATAACTGGAGGAGACAGTGGCTAATATTAGCGTTAGTATTATTTATTAAACATACGCTAAAAGGGTAAGAGCAACTGTTTTTATACCACTAGTTTAACTCATTCCAAGAGGATACACTGTCTTGTCAAGGAAATATCTGCTTTGTATAGTGCTAGTAGATAAGATTTTTAGCTAAGTTTTTAGTGATAAAGAAATACTAATACTGTTGATAACAGGAGTTTTATTGCTGGTAATATAACAAAGTGCTTTGACTACAAAATAAAATATCTGGGAGATGGCTTTGGTCACAAATAGTTACTTGGTGATCCCCTGTTTTGGAAAAATTAAAGTAAAATGTTGTATTAAAGGCATGTATTGAAGGCCAGCAATACTTATTATTTCTTACACACCTGATACATATTTGCTGGTTTTCTCTTCCCCCCCTCCCCCATGTTGACTAACTGGAAGGCTTTGGAAAAAAATCTGGTTTTCATAATTTTCAAGGTGTTTAAAGTGCTGACAGTTCTTCTGTTGCATTCTCTATCTGCTGTTACTGATTCTTAATTTATAAGAGAGAAGTTGTGTTCCTCACATAGAGATTCCTAGTGTCATTGCTCATACTTTTAAGTCTTTCAGTTTTGTGATCTAAACCATGTTAGGAGCCTTGTGCTAAGGATCAAAAGCACTAATGGCTCATAAGATGACCCATTGATAGGAGTCTCTCAGCGTCTTTAGTTTGTGGTTACAGAAGAAGGAAATACATGTTGAAGAAATCTACACTAATTAATTGTTAAAGTACTTCTAGGTAATATGGGGTATAATACATTTTAGATTTAAAAAGGCAAGAGAGTGAAATTGGAATGGAGTCTGATTATTTATTCTGTGTCTGCAGTATGGTGTTTCCTTTTCATAGAAGCAGAATAGATAATTTCTGTTCAGAACAGTTTGTTTTGGAGAGTAAGAAGGGATTTTAGCCAAGGATCTTTATGCTTTCATGTAGAAATTATAAATTGGCAAGAGAACTTGCTGTCTTGGTGAAAAATTTTCACAGGATTGGTACAGTTTACAAGCTTTTTCTGAAAAACATTTTCACGTAGCAGATTTTTAGAGGTTTTTTTTTCCAAAATATGGGCAGATTGTGTTTTTAATAATTGAAATGCATGACTTTAGCACCATACTGCTATTCAGCAACTTTTGATAGCAAGGAGCATTGTGGTTCTGAGCACTGGATCAGAAAGAACTGAAACTGTGTTTATTCCTCTCAATGGCACCATATCTGTATAGAGGAGGAAGTATTCTTATCTGCATCATCTAGACAAGATGTTTAAGAAATTTCAGGGAGATGCTTGTGAAGAGAAGTATGGGGGATAGGGAATACAAGATGAAGATAAGGCACAAAAGCCAACAGAAGTGGAATATTATGTGTAAGACTTCTGGGGCAGATCGAGAGGTGAACAGAAGGGGGAATTACAACTATGGGGGGGGGGGGGGGGGAATGTGCAAAGCAAAATGTCTAATCACAAAATAAGACCATGTTCTAAAACAGAGAGTCCTTAAAATGCTCTGCTATTCAATGAATGCCACCGCAACTCATAGTAAAATAGTTATGGCCTTCCATAATACTGTGCTTCTTGAATCCAAAAGGAACCTGAGCCTAAAATATTAGGCAGTAGCACATGAAATGAGGATGAACTATGGTTGCACAGATACAAATGCTTAACATAGCACCATGCATTTATGAAGCATTTTAATCTACCATTACACAAAAGCGGATCAAAATTTGGAATAGGTTGCATTAGGGAGGTGTAAGCCTTGGTGATAAGCAGAGCTTGTCTGAACTGAGCACCATAAAAGAACTCTGAAGTTGGCATTGAGTAGGAACCAGATGTCCTCCAGCGATCCCTTCCAGCTTGGCTTATATCTCAACACCTATTTAATGAAAGAATACTTTTTCTTTGTTGTTAGTGGTCTTGTTCATTTAAAAATCAAAATGTGTATCCCGTTCACAGTCATCTCTACATGCCGTATATTTATCAGGCCTTTAACGCCTTTGCTCCAAATCAAAGAGAAGACTTGGATTCTCATTTATTGGTCAAAAAATAATAATTTAAAAATTAAATCATGCGAGTTCACTGGACTGAATATGCTTCTATGTCCAGTTATTTAAATTTAAAGATTAACAAGGAACAAGTACAGATCAGCCCAGCTTGTTGCCCTTAACATACGGACAAAGTTTAGAGTGCCTACTCAGTTGAGACCAGAGTTTTATCTGGCCTAGTGTCTTCTCTCCAGCATGGTCAGAAGCAATGGGAAGAATTTAAGAACAGGGAAATCATACATGATACCTCTTAATATTTTCCCAAAGATACAAACCAGGAACTTTGTGGGATAGGTACCATCTCATGAACAGTCTTACAAGAAATTCTCACTTGTAAGTTTATCAGGTTTACCTTTAAATCCATGTTAAATTTTAGCATCCACAGTTCCATTTAACAGCAAGCTCAGAAGTTCAATCATAGTTTGCATTGTCTGCATCGCTTGGGAATATGTTAGCTGACAAATGCTAATGTAACACTTTAATTCCTTGAAACAAAGTGAGATAAAAATTGGAAAAGTGATTTATCCAAGTTTGTCACCAGAAAGAGTCATATTGGGAAAATACCTGAGAATCCAATAGTCTAAAAAATAAAACCCCAAAACAAAACAACTAATCAGAGATTGAAAAGTGAGGGGGGAGAAAAAACCCAAACTACTCTTGAAGACAATAGGAAAACTAGTGTGTTAATTGTTGAAATTATTTCCTGCAGTTATGAAACATGTTTTCTAAGGAATAATTAAGCTGAGAACACTTAATGAAAAGCAAAGACTTGAGGATCAGAATTTACTTCTGAACAAGCAGCTCTGTGATTAAGCAGATCTGTGATTATGCTTACTGCAGCTTCATTTCAGTGTGCAGTTGCTAGTGTCATTCAGTTTGTACTAGAAGTAAAAAATATGGCAGTGGAAACTTTTTTGTTTTGGTTGTGGGTTTTTTTGTGTGTGTGTGGTTTTGGTGGTTTGTTTTTGTTTTTGTTTTTTTTTAAACCTTTCCCCTGAACATACCTAGTGGTTAAATATTAAAAACCAATGAAAGTGTTAATTGCTTCTGAAAATATGCATGTAATCTTCTGTAAGCCATGTTACTTAAAGTATCCATAGTTTTTTTGTAATTTAAGATTTTCCTTTTCTGTTTGAGCTGTTAGTTTGGGCCTAGTAAATATGTGATAGTTCTTTTATTTGGACACTTGCAAAGAGAAGCAAATGAAATAAAAGTGTTTTAACCACTACCTTCTCATCAGTGACTTTTTAGGTGACCAATATATTTGATGCTAATTTGGTGTAAAATAACTTGTATTGTCTGTATAAAGACTAAAGACTTGTCTTTAATTTGTTCCATAAAATGGCAGAAGAGGCTTGATTGCTGCACAGATATGATGATTAGATACGGTATAAAATATATATTTATGGACAACACTAGCTGTGATTTTATTGGGCAGTTTGTAATCATTCTGCAATTAGGCCACTGAAAACATATTTCAAGAGGAGCATTTGGCACATCTCAAATATGAAAAAAAAATATACCCTTTAGTTAAAAACAAATCATTGGTATCATGATTTACAGCATAGCCTTTAAATCTTAACAAAGTGATAATTGGTGCTTTTTCATTAGAATTTAACTATTCAGCACAATGTTGCTGCTTAATGTTTTCTGAGAGGTTCTAAGGTTTCTTAGGGATAAAACTATGGCGTTTTGTATACAGCCTCTTTTATTTTTTAATATCTTAAAGGATTTGTGCGGTTCCCTCATTTTTACTATTGAATGAATGACTTAAATATGCAAGTTTTGCATGTCAGACAGCTTTGAATAATGTTTGCTTGTTGTCCATAGCTAATTGTTTTGAATAAAAATAAGGTATATTTTGCAATGGCAAATTATTTATGATAAATCATTTACTGTCCTCATCTGCAGATGATGTTCATGTTAACTTTGTAAAGCTTACCATTGTCAGTTAAATACTGGATTTGGCATCTCTTTTATGCATTTATAGATTCTGAATGTGTATGATACAGAAGAGTTTGCAAGGGTAAGGTAACTGCTTGCCTGTAGAGAAATTCAGTAAGAATAGTAGAAAATACTGTCTACTGTAAACTTGTGTCTTTTTCTTTTGAAATACATTTTTCAGCCAGTGGTGCTTCCTGAATTTTATATTAAGAATAACAGAATTGCTAGTGGTTGCGGTGTTACTTTTTAATCTTGAAGTTAAGTAGACTAGTATATGGCATTCACTTAGATTTTTTATTTTTTTTTTTTCCTAACAGAAAGCTAATCATCACACTGGGTAAGAAAAGAAAAAATGAATCTTCAGATGAATTGTCTGATGCTAAGCAGACTCCACAGCGGCCATTAAAAGATGAAGATTCACAGGTAAGTACTCAGAATTTTTCACTTTTAAATTTGTATGTGGTGTTATTTCTACAGGTCTTTCCCCCCCAAAAGAAAAAGTTATGTTCTTTTTGACACAGTGGCAGTTCCTCTCTTACTGCTCTCTCTCTCATAGGTAGAACCTTATGTTATAAGCAATAAGGTGAAAGTCAGAAAATCTTACAGGTTAGAGTCCCCTGTCTGTAATGGGACATTGGGGCTCTGCTTGTATCTGTTTCATTTCAGTACAGAAGTCCATAGATTTGAGACTGTAAATACTCATCTGTTAAGCTAGCAGTTAGACCTGACCTTTGCTTTGGCTGACTTTCTGGGGAGAATGCATAGATTGCCTAATAGAAGGAACATTTTTCAGTGAAACTGGCTCTTGAGAACATTTAAAAGTCTGGTTTCAAACTTTACTATTTTTTATGAGCTCTGCTTCTGTCAAAACATAAAGAATTGGTTTCTTGCAGTGTTGTATCACTTCAGTATCTTCAGTATCTGAAGGGAACAAAGATCAATATGCTGATAAGCTCTAGTTGCTTGTGGAATACTTCTAAAGCAAGTGTTAGATCAAGAATCAAAGTGGTGGAGTCATTCCCTTGAGGAGTATCTCCCTTGTAACTTTCTTTCTGCATTTATTTCATACATTGCCCTGATATAATAGTAGCATAACTGTGCACAATATGAGCTGTTTGTAAGAGATTATATCCTGTTCATGTGTATGTAACAGAACTATAATTTTCTTCCTTTAGGGCAAACTCCATTAAAAGTAAGGTTATATGCTGGAAATGCATAGGTTTTTATCCTGTGCCAATTTCATCCACAGAGATTAAATCATTATTCAAAACAAGGCAGTGTTGAGTAAAAACTGATCGCATTATTTGATGATAATGAGATACCGAGTTACCTTTAGTATTTCATAGATGACAATGTGTGGAGGAAAAGGATCAGAAGCCGTTTCCCAGATAGCTTGTCTTAGGTAAAGGTTAACTGGGAGGGTATGTGAATTTATTTATTTCTCAGGGAATTTGTCTTGGTATAGAAAGTCTGTTTAGTACACTGAAATTGGTGAAAGCAGGTTGTTTTTTTTTCTCAAGTGCTGTAACTTATCAGTAGTGCTCTGCAATCAGGTATAAATTTGTAAACCAACAAATACAATACAAAAGACTGAAGTATTTTTTTGTTCCTGCCCCCCCCCCCCCCCATCACTTGTGGTGCTTGGGATATTTGATTTTTAGCATGACAAGGGTCGTCTCTAATTCTACTGTGGATAGACAGGGAGTATGATCAAATTGCATAATTCTGGTGTGAAGGGAACAGAAGGTAGAGATAATAAGGGGTGGCATGGGATAGAAAAAGAATTATACTGCAGAATGTCACACCACTGCCCCATCTATCTTTGAAGGAGCTTGAGAGAAGCATAACAGGAAAATTTTAAGTTGTTGTGTTTTATTAATTCATTCCCTCTAGTTTTCTAACATTTTCATTATTTTCTTTTCCTATGGGAAATAGCTGTCGATTTCTATGCTCTGGGGAGCAATTTTAGGTCTCTTTCTCCCCAATTCATTTTGTATGCTTAGTTTTGCATTAAGCATCTTCTTTAAATACATTGATTTATTTCTTGTGTGCTTTAGAGCATTTGTTTATGACCATGCTTCTCAGCTCAGGGAAATACAAAGGGCTGTTTTTTCAAACTCAGGTTATACAATCATAGAATCATAAAATAGTTAGGGTTGGAAAGGAACTTAAGATCATCTAATTCCACCCCCTCTGCCATGGGCAGGGACACCTCACACTAAACCATGTCACCCAAGGCTCTGTCCAACCTGACCTTGAACACCGCCAAGGATGGAGCATTCACAACTTCCCTAGGAAGCCCATTCCAGTGCCTCACCGCCCTCACACTAAAGAATTTCTTCCTTATATTCAATCTAAACTTCCCCTGTTTAAGTTTGAACCCGTTACCCCTTGTCCTGTCACTGCAGTTCCTAATGAAGAGTCCATCTCCAGCATCTTTATAGCCTGTGTATCAAAGACAGACTCCAGCTCTGGTGAAATCTGAAGACCTTTATTACGGATCTCGCATCCCTTTTATAGTCCACTAAGAGCTAAGCAGTAACTTTCCACTCTTTTACTCCTTTATCATCCCGATTTAGCAAAACTGCTAAGGGTTACAAATATTCACACTGTTTGGTCTGTCTTTGAGATGCACATCCTGCTTTATCTTGCAAACCGCCTGCTTTGTTTTGCTAACCGATCTTTACCTTTCATTGTTCTCTTTACAGTTCCCAAGGGTTAGGCTCGACCAGGGAAATAGCACCTGGTGTTTTCTTTACCATTCCCAAGGCTTAAACCGGACCAGGGTGATAACGCCTGGATCCATTTTGTTAACTATTTCTATCACCCACAATAGCCCCCCTTCAGATACTAGAAGGCTGTATGTATTAATATGTTGAAGAACATACATCTGTTGATGACTCGTTAATCACTTCATACTTGAAGAAAAGTCATAGTGAGAAGGATTGAAAATGCCAGTTTCTAAACCTCATTAGGTTTACAAAAATTCAATAAATAATGAATGAAACTTGAACCTGGTTCTTAATCCTTCTTTTGTAATTCATACATACATTGCTCCTCTTAGCTGTCATTTTAAAAAAATCTATTGTCAGCAAGCTGTTGTTGATTTAACTATAATATGACACACAATCGCTTTTTATTGAAGAACAGCTAATCTGGAAAGCTGGTTGAGTAGTTTCACATATTTGGATTCTCCAGAAGAATGGTGATACTAGTGTTTTTAGTGTGTATGTAGTGTTACTACTCTACAACATGTAGTTGTTAAAGTATAGCCAGATCAAGGGCTGAATTTAACAGTCAAAAAGAAAATTCCTCTGCTGCAATCTTACTGTTACTTAGCATCTGCTCTGTAGAAAGTAGTATGACCACAGGATTTTGGTTTTTTGTACTATTCACAACTTGTTTTTGTCCCGATTACTATAGTGTATTGCAACCAGCAATGGCTTTTTTTTTTTTCCAAACAAAAATACACTTTTCTGTGTAACACAATAGAATTATTTTACTGACTGGTTTACTTTGCTGATTTTATTTTTGCAATGATAATTCTCTAAAGCAGATTGCAGTGTTTTTAAATGTTAGCTGACTAGTTTGATTCTGCTATTGTTATTTACCCAATAGACTTACAAATTAATCTTATGGTTAAATGTATTGATACTGAGGAGTGGAAGTGTATTATCTGAATAATCTACGTTTTTGAAACTTAAACAGTGAGTCAGGAGGAATTACTTTCTTAGACTGAACATTATTTCTCCATCTGGAACTTGTCCTCAGATTCTTGCAGAAATAAGAGTGGAAGATTAGAGAGAGAAATGGCAAAGCAAGCCAAATACTGCTGTTAAACAATCTTGATTAAGGTGGAAAAAGCAAATACATTAAGCAACAAACTTTATTAGCCATAAAATCAGCAATCTGATCAATATGATCTAATGAAAATCTTCATGATTTTAATAGCACTGGTGTTTAGTAGAGACACTTCAGTATGTGTTGTCGTTCACACAGATAATTGGATTGTATGGTAACACACTGCTGTTATACTGCATTATGAAATTGCTGTTGCAATACTGATGCTATGGGAGATCTGCTGTATATCAGCTTTGTTTCCATACTCTGAAAATATTGTTCCATGTTTGCTTTTGAACTCTAAATATATAAGTATCAAATGTTTATCTGGAATGGGGGGGAGGGGGAATTGATCACAAATAGCATATGGCTATTTCTATCCCTCTGTGATTCACATGCTTCATATTTTCTACCAAATGTTGGCCTTTGACTTTAGATAAATCTAAAGTATTGCTTAGAGTGTCCCCAAACTTGCAATTCATGCTAGAGGAAGCTTTTGGTAAGACCTATATTTTTTATTTTTTTTTCTCCTGCATGCAGAAGAGAAGATCAAATCGTCAAGTTAAAAGGAAAAAGTATGCTGAAGAAGGAGGAAAACAATCGGAAGCAGCAGCTAAAGTTTCTGTGAAAATCAAAAAGAATTCTGCCCCTTTACCTGCTGAACAGCCTTTACAATTATTTGTTGTAAGTAAAAACTGGCTTGGTCTGTAGTGGGAGCTTTCCATTTGTCTCCAGTGGTTCAGTGAATAAAGGTCATAACTTTGAAGGAAAACATTATTACTAAGACATGGGTTTTTTTTTTAATATGGCATCTTGCTAAGATCTTGAAAACTGGAAGAAATTGCTTATATACTATTTTTTCTTTTCTGTTAGAAATATTTGTTAACATAACTGAAGTTAAGGATAAGACTAGGTATATCTCAAATAGTGTGAAAAAGCTGTATGCCAATATTATCATGACTTTCAGAAGTATAAAATTAATTGAGCCTATGGGGTCTCTGCTTACTGAAATATTTAAAAAGGAAACTTCTCCCTTTTTTTGCCCCCTTTGGGTTTATACTTCACTGTTCAGCTTGTTCCAGCTCTGGTAATCAAACTTAAAATCGAGCCATACTAGGTAAATAAAGTTGCAGGAAAGAAGGGGGGGGAAGTGTTCATGAGAATTTAGGAGGAGTGCCAAAGTTGTAAGGGAAGAAGAAAGCTAGCATAGTTGGGAGCAAATTGGAAAAGAGGGAAGGTGACTCTTTACTGGAAGCAGCCTTTGAAGACTGGCTCTTTATCTCTGGAACCACATGTTCAGCCTTGGTAACCCCTATCTGTGTCATACCTAAGCCATGCTGAAATTCCCAAGCATGACCTTCTCTGCCTGATTCTGCAGCATGTTTGTTATCTATGGTCAGAGTAAACCTATTAAATTGACACATGCTGGTTTTGTTTTAATTTACTTTTTTAACATGTCTCCTAGAGTTCTTATTCATAGAATCGTAGAATAGTTAGGGTTGGAAAGGACCTTAAGATCATCCAGTTCCAACCCCCTTCCATGGGCAGGGACACCTCACACTAAACCATGTCATCCAAGACTCCATCCAACCTGGCCTTGAACACTGCCAGGGATGGAGCATTCACAACTTCCTTGGGCAACCCATTCTAGTGTCTCACCACCCTCACAGTCCTTTTCTTGTCACTACAGTCCCTAATGAGGAGTCCCTCCACAGCATCCTTGTAGGCCCCAAATGTGTATGTATGCTGAAATTCTGGTTATGTCCACTGCATCAGATCAGCTCACAGCAGGGCATTCACAGTGAGTCTGTGTCTGGAAAGCATCAATCACCATTGCTTGTACATTGTGTTTGGTAGGTGACCATCACATCTGATGCTCTTTGGAAGTGCCAGTCTTATTGTGCTTTAGCATGCCTTTATCTTTGGATATAGACCTGGCTTTTAAATTTTATTCCCAGAATGTTAAAGAGGATGTTCCTGGTAGAGGTCAAATTTGCCTTTATTGTTGATCTTCTACTTGTGCTTGAAGGTTTTAAGCCTGATCAGTTTGAATAGAGGGCATTTACTGCAATTTCTGTTATTGTTTTCCTGCATTTATAGGAAAATCCAAGTGAAGAAGATGCAGCAATTGTAGACAAAATCTTATCCTCCAGGGTAATAAAGAAAGAAGTAAGTGATTGTTATGGGATAAAATTGCTTATTTGAAAAAGGGGTTTGTATTTGTCATTTAACATTTCCCCTGAATTACTTTTCCTAGATAGCTGCTGGGATGACAGTAGAAACAGAAGAGTTCTTTGTAAAATACAAAAACTAGTAAGTACTAAAAAGTTTCATTGAGGTGTGGACTGAAATGATAAGTACTGTATACATGTTCTAAAGTTTTGTATTGTTGACCATTAATTTGTAACTAGATTTTGTCATCTTTTGATAGTTTTATTTACAAATTTAATCTTAAAAATGCTAAGAATCTGCATTGTATTCTTAATGATTCAGTCAGCTGATCGGAGCTAGCCTAGCTAGAGCCGCAGCCGGCACGCTTCAGTGACCGCGAGGGTCAACGGAGATTAGGAAAATCAGAGGGGAGAGCGTAGAGACATCGCTATTCCCAACATCTCCCGATCCCCGAAGACCCAGCAGCCCTTGCGAGAGAGAGGCTGACGTGGCGGGGGGCGTTCCCACGGTGACGGTGACCACTCCCCTGCCCCTTGCCTTGAAAGAGCCTCTGAGAGGGCAGCGGCATGTCACTGCCCACCGGGCGCAGGGAGGAACAAGCAGGTCGTGTTGCTGACCCTGTTGCTGGTGTCCCAGACTGCGGACCAATATGGTCGCCTCCAGAAAGAGAGCTTGCAGTAAGAAGACTGCAGCAACTCAGACAGAGACCCCGTCCCAAACCGTGGCTGTTCAGGTCTCTGGATGCAGGGAGTGCCAGAGCCTGCTGCTGCCGGGGGAGGGAGGACAGCATTCCACCTGCGTGAGGTGTGAGCAGGTAGAAGATCTGCTTAGCCTGGTGGCAAGACTTAAGGAGGAGGTTGAGATGCTGAGGACCATCAGGGAGTGTGAAAGGGAGATCGACTGGTGGAGTAACTCCCTGGCGTGCCAGTCGGAACGGTTCCAGGGAGATACCCCCCAAAAGGGGAAGGACCCCCTGCCTTCTCACACAGAGGGGGATGGCCCGAGACAGCCCCTGCCCTGTAGCTGTTGCGCAGAGGTAGGGGACCAAAAAGGTGACGAGGGTTGGAAGCGAGTTCCAGTTTGGCGTCATGGGAAACCCTCCCCCCTTCCTGCCCTGCTTCCCCAGGTGTCCCTCCGTAATAGGTTCGAGGCCCTGGATCTTGAAGGAGAGGTAGGTGAGGATGTGGTGCAAGGCCAGCCTACAAGGCCACATAGGAAAAGGCGGTCGACTTTGCACCTCAAGACTGCCTCTGATAAGAAAGAAAGAAGGGTAATTGTAGTAGGCGATTCACTTCTGAGAGGAACAGAGGGCCCGATATGCAGAGCTGACCCTCATCATAGGGAAGTGTGTAGTCTGCCTGGAGCCCGGATCAGGGATATCACCAGGGCGCTCCCCAACCTGGTGCACCCGACAGACTACTACCCGCTGCTGATCTTCCAGACAGGTGAGGGGGAAGCTGCTTCCCGCAGTCTGAGGGAGATGAAGAAAGACTACAGGGCCTTGGGGCGGATGGTGAAAGTCTGGGGCTCAAGTGTTCTTCTCCTCACTCCTTCCATCTTCCACTGATGATGTGGGAAGGAATGGGAAGATTCAGTCCATAAACGATTGGCTTTGAGACTGGTGCTACAGGCAGGGCTTTGGATTCTTTGATAACAGCTGGTTTTATAGGGCACCAGTCTGGACAATGACAAGTGGGAAAGGTTTATCTCACAGAGGCAAAAGGATGCTGGGGCATGAATTAGCAGGGCTCATTTGGAGAGCTTTAAACTAGATTCGAAGGGGGATGGGGTTGTAGCTGGGCTTGCCCTAGTGGGGCAGCGCTCCAGAATTAATGAAGACTGGGAGGCCTCCTATAATCCTAGGGTGAAATTGGTGTGCTCAGCTCGCTCCCTGGAATGTCTGTACACCAATGCGCGCAGCATGGGAAATAAGCAGGAGGAGTTGGAAACCTGTGTTAAGTCAGGAGACTATGATCTGGTGGCAATTACAGAGACGTGGTGGGACAGCTCACATGACTGGTATATAGTCATGGAGGGCTATGTCCTTTTCAGGAAAGACAGGCCAGCCAGGCGGGGTGGTGGGGTTGCCCTTTATGTACGGGAGCAACTACAATGCACCGAGTTCTGTCCAGGGACAGATGACGAGTGAGTTGAGAGTCTGTGGGTGAGAATTAAGGGGCAGGCTGGCAGGGGAGATACTGTTGTAGGTGTCTGTTACAGACCACCAGATCAGGGTGAGGAAGTTGACGAGGCCTTCTACAGGCAGCTGAGAGTGGCCTCACAGTCACAGGCTGTGGTTGTCATGGGGGATTTTAACTTCCCTGATGTTTGCTGGAAGGACCACTCAGCAACCCAACCACAGTCCAGGAGGTTCCTCCAGTGTATGGATGATAACTTCCTCATGCAAATGGTGGAGGAGCCAACCAGGAGAGGAGTGCTGCTGGATCTCATCCTCACTAACAAGGAGGGTCTGGTCGAAGCAGTAAGGGTTGAGGGCTGCCTTGGTTGCAGCGACCACGAGATGGTGGAATTCAGGATCTTGTGTGGTAGGACTAGTAGAATAGCAAGTAGAACTGTAACTCTGGACTTTAGCAGGGCAAACTTTGGCCTTTTCAAGCAATTGCTAGGGGAAATCCCATGGGCAAGGCTGCTTGAAGGTAAAGGGGCCCAAGATAGTTGGTTGGCATTCAAGGATTGCTTTTTCCGAGCTCAAGATCCGAGCATCCCGACATGTAGGAAGTCAAGGAAGAGGGCCAGGAGACCTGCGTGGCTAAATAGGGAATTGCTGGGTATGCTCAAGTGGAAGAGGAGAGTTTACAGGTCATGGAAGGAGGGGCTGGCCGCGTGGGAGGAATATAAGGCTGCTGCTAGAGGATGTAGGAAGGCAGCTAGGATGACTAAGGCCTCCTTAGAATTAAACCTGGTGAGAAGGGTCAAGGACAGCAAAAAGCTTTTTCAAATACATGGCAGATAAAACTAACACCAGAGGCAATGTAGGCCCACTGATGAACGGGATGGGTGCCCTGGTGACAGAAGATACAGAGATGGCAGAGTTACTGAATGCCTTCTTTGTCTCTGTCTACTCTGCCTCAGGCAGTCCTGAAGAGCCCTGTACCCCTGAGACCTTAGATAAAGTCAGGTCGACGGAGCGGTTTGCCTTAGTCGATGAGGAATGGGTTAGAGACCAGTTGAGCAATCTGGACATCCATAAATCCATGGGTCCAGATGGGATGCACACGCGGGTGCTGAGGGAACTGGCGGAAGTCATTGGTAGACCACTCTCCATCATCTTTACCAAGTCTTGGGAAACGGGAGAGGTGCCTGAGGACTGGAGGAAAGCAAATGTCATTCCAGTCTTCAAAAAGGGCAAGAAGGAGGACCTGGGTAGCTATAGACTGGTCAGCCTCACCTCCATCCCTGGGAAAGTGATGGAACACCTTATCCTTGGTGCCATCTTAAGGCATATCAAGGATAAGAGGGTTATGAGGGGCAGTCAACATGGCTTCACCAGGGGGAAATCATGTTTGACCAATCTCTTAGCCTTTTATGAGGAAATAACACGGTGGATGGATGATGGCAGAGCGGTGAATGTGGTCTACCTTGACTTCAGCAAAGCATTTGACACAGTCTCCCACAGCATCCTCACAGCTAAATTGAGGCAGTGTGGTCTGGATGATCAGGTAGTGAGGTGGACTGTGAACTGGCTGAAGGAGAGAAGCCAGAGAGTTGTAGTCTATGGGGCGGAGTCTAGTTGGAGGCCTGTAACTAGTGGAGCGCCTCAAGGGTCAGTACTGGGACCAGTATTATTTAATATATTCATCAACGATTTAGATGAGGGAATTGAGTGTACTATCAGCAAGTTTGCTGATGACACTAAGCTGGGAGGAGTGGCTGACACGCCAGAAGGCTGTGCTGCCATCCAGCGAGACCTGGACAGGCTGGAGAGTTGGGCAGGGACTAACTTGATGAAATATAACAAGGGAAAGTGTAGAGTCCTGCATCGGGGCAGGAACAACCCCAGGTTCCAGTATAGGTTGGGGAATGACCTGTTAGAGATCAGCGTAGGGGAGAGGGACCTGGGGGTCCTAGTGGAGGACAGGATGACCATGAGCCAACACTGTGCCCTTGTGGCCAAGAAGGCCAATGGCATCCTGGGGTGTATTAGAAGGGGGGTGGTTAGTAGGTCGAGAGAGGTCCTCCTTCCCCTCTACTCTGCCCTGGTGAGACACTCCTCAGTTCTTGATGTTGGATATATAAGCACATTTTTAATTCTATACATGTGAGTAATTTCATTAGATTCTTGCTAATAAATGTGATTTTTGTGAGACTCTGGATTCACATGTTTCTGGAAACCATTTAACTCTTGTTTTCTGAAAGGGTAAAGCCTGTCTTTTCATCTGTGAGTGAGTAATACCCAACAGTAGCTCTTCTTTATTTCTGTCCTATCTTTAGAAAGCTTAAAAAGGATGAAAACATTAAAAAAGGGGTGTGAAGGAAGGATTATCTGTACTTCTGTCAAACCAATCTGACTTCAGAAAGGCTCGCTTGGGATGCAGTTAAATGTGTTGGTAGAGGTGCTTGGGATGCAGTTAAATGTGTTGGTAGAGGTGCTTGGGATGCAGTTAAATGTGTTGGTAGAGGTGCTCATGCTTCCTTTGACTATATTACTTTGTGCTTCTCTCCCAACCGAATCTGATGATCTGTTCCTTTTTGCCATAGGCTCTTGATGCTCCTCACTGATCTTTTAATGGGCACAGCTATATAGTGCAGCAATACTTGTGAAGAGATGATCACATGTAGTACACAACAAAGATCCAATATATTAAGTATATCTCTGGGCAGTTTCTGATAGAGGTGTCAGATATTCAAATTGATTTATTTAAGCTCACTTTAAATATACTTGTTTCTCTTCTTAGGACGCATGCAAGAAATTTGTGAATCCATAGAGTTCTATGGATCCCAGCGCAAAAACGCTGCTTTAATTAGATGCTCCAAAATGATTATTTGGAGGAATAAATAATAGAATCATAAAATAGTTAGGGTTGGAAAGGACCTTAAGATCATCTAGTTCCGACCCTCCTGCCATGGGCAGGGACACCTAACACTAAACCATGTCACCCAAGGCTCTGTCCTTGAACACCGCCAGGGATGGAGCATTCACAACTTCCTTGGGCAGCCAATTCCAGTGCCTCACCACCCTCATCGTAAAGAACTTCCTCCTTATATCTAACCTAAACTTCCCATGTTGAAGTTTTAACCTGTTACCCCTTCTCCTACCACTACAGTCCCTAATGAAGAGTCCCTCCCCAGCATCCTTGTAGGCCCCCTTCAGATACTGGAAGGCCGCTACGAGGTCTCCACACAGCCTTCTCTTCTCCAGGCTGAGCAGCCCCAACTTTCTCAGCCTGTCTTCATATGGTAGGTACTCCAGTCCCCTGATCATCCTCATGGCCCTCCTCTGGACTTGTTCCAACAGTTCCATGTCCTTTTTATGTTGAGGACACCAGAACTGCCCACAATACTCCAAGTGAGGTCTCACGAGAGCAGAGGGGCAGGATCATCTCCTTCGACCTGCTGGCCAGGCTTCTTTTGATGCAGCTGAGGATACGGTTGGCTTTCTGGGCTGCAGGCGCACACTGCTGGATCATATTCATTTTCTCATCCACCAACACCCCCAAGTCCTTCTCCATGGGGCTGCTCTGAATCTGTTCTCTGCCCAAGCTGTGGGTGTGCCTGGGATAGTCCCGACCCACGTGTAGGGCTTTGCAGTTGGCTTGGTTGAACTTCATGAGGTTGGCATCGGCCCACCTCACAAGCGTGTCAGGGTCCCTCTGGATAGCATTCCTTCTCTCCAGCTGTCCTGGGTTCATCAGTAGCAGTCATTTTCCTCAGTCTTAGTACCTGGTGCAGTGCTGTGTTTTTGACTTTCAGCCTGGGAACAATGCTGATAACACCAATGTTTTTAGTTATTGCTAAGTAATGTTTACTCTGACCAAGGACTTTTTGAGACTCATGCTCTGCCAGGGAGGAGGGGAAGTCGAGAGGAAGCAGAGACAGGACACCTGACCCAAACTAGCCAAAGAGGTATTCCATGCCACAGCACCTCATGCCCAGTATATAAACTGGGGGCAGTTACCCGGAAGGGCTAGATGATAATCAGGTCGGGCTGGGTATCGGTCAGTGGGTGGTGAGCAGCTGTATTCTCTTCCCTTGTTATTCCCCTTATCATTATTATTATTATTGGTGGTAGCAGTAGTGTTTTTGTGTTATACCTTAGTTACTGGACTGTTCTTATCTCAACCTGTGGGAGTTACATTATTTTGATTCTTCTTCCCATCCCTCTGGGAGTGAGGAGTGGGGGGTGGGAGGTGGGAGGGGGGGGAGTGAGTGAGTGAGTGGCTGTGTGGTTCTGGGTTGCCGGCTGGGCTTAAACCACAACAGTTCTTTGTGGCACCCAGTGTGGGGCACAAATTGTTGACATAACGACAGATCTGACCAGAGTGTGTCTAGTCCTATTTGTGATAAACATTCACTGTTTTGGATTAATAGTCACATGTCACAATGCTGATTTATTGGCTCTCAAAGTTGTTGGTCTTGATCTCACAGTTTCAGCATGTTTTTCCTTACTTACAGCTGGTATTTGCTGGTTTAGTGTTTATCGGCTGGGGGGCCTGGGCTAAGGTTCTTGTTTCGCTGTGCTTTATGGTAATGACTTGTAATACGATCGACTCATTGATCATGAAACTGATCTGGTTTGCATTCTCAGTGTGGTCATCACCTCTGTACTTTGGGAGGTATATAATAGTAGTGTTTAGCAATTACACATCTTTTTTTTCCTCCTCGTGTGGTCAGCCTATGAAGGAGACATTTCCTTACCTTCCCAGCCCCCACACCAGCCTATTTACAGCATCAATTGAGAGTTCTGAAGGTTTTGAATGTCCTTTGGGTACCCTTGAGACTTTCCTGCTGATTGTGATGGGGATCGGCATGTTGGCACACATACAGACTGTGTTTTACCCATGACCATTTCGTCTGATCTCAAAAGTTAAGCAGAGTCAGGTTTGGGTTTTGTCTAGGGGTAGATGACGTTATAGGAGGACCAAGAGATTTTTCCCGAGGCTGGACAGTCATGAGTTGCAGGGTGTGTGCGATAGTATGGGCAAATATCTAGGCCAGTGGGCCCCTCCAGTGCTTTGGAGCCTCACCACTGAACAAGTGCAAATTTAAGAAAAATTAGTAAAACACTTAAAGGAGGTGTGTTGTCATACCAGAGTGGGACAAATCATGGCAATGTGCTGGGCCTTGGCCTATGCTTACAGAGCCCTGTTCAACACTATCCAGAGCCTTCAAAGGGAAAAAAATGTCTCTGGATCTGATGGCAAGGTAACAGACAACGCAGCTACTCCAACTCCAAATACAGCAGCTACACCAACCCTAGTGACAAGTACAGCAGGATCATTATCAACTGAACCACACAGCTCGGTGTAATGGGCAAACTTGCTGAGGGCGCATTCAGTCCTGCTGTCCATGTCACCAGCAAAGATGTTGAACAAGACCGGTCCCAACACCGATCCCTGAGGAACACCACTCTTTACTGGTCTCCAATAGTACATTGCTCCGTTGACCACAACTCTTTGCATGCGTCCATCCCAGCCAATTCTTTAGCCACCGTTCTTTGATATTTTTTTTTCAGTGAATTCTGTCTTACATGATAAAATATTCTATTTTTAGTGAAATTCTGCTTTATAACATAGTTTTTTTTACCTGTGTATTAAAAATTGATAATAAGCTTTTGTTTTTGCTAATACATTAATCTCTATTATTTTAGCTCTTATCTTCACTGTGAGTGGGCCACAGAGCAACAGCTTTTAAAGGATAAAAGAATCCAGCAGAAAATAAAACGATTCAAACAGAGGCAAGCACAAAGAGCTCACTTTTTTGCAGATGTGAGTATGAAATAGACAACTAAATAAGCTTTATTCTTTGTAAAATTGTAATTAAGAGCTTGCTTTCAAGTAGACCAGCTGCATGTTGAGCAGTAAAAATTAGCCATTGGGGTTGTGGTTTTGGTTGCAGCATATTGGTGGAGTTTTTTATTTTTTGGTGTTTTTTTTTTTGTTTAACATAATTGTAAGAGCAAGTGTTCTGGAGGCACTGGACTATTCTGACATGCATGGTTTAAAATTGGGACTGTTTGGGTAACTGCTTAAAAGTGTTAAGGAGGGGAAGATTATGTTAGTAAGACTTTCCCAATACAGCACTTAATCCCTAAATGACTGTGTTTTCTATTCTAATGTCAGATCTCTCTTCAGTGTCTGTTGCCAAAAAAAAAATGGGGGGAGGGGATGGGGGGAATATGTTTTAAGGTGTGTGCAAAAGCCTCAGTAGTTTCCGACTGCCAGACTCATTTTTTGCATGATGAGACTCTGCCATATACCAGCTTTTTTTTTTTTTTTTTGTCTCTACTGATTTTATTAATCTTGCATTGCAGATGGAAGAAGACCCTTTTAATCCTGACTATGTTGAAGTAGATCGGGTATTAGAAGTATCTGTTTGTGAAGATAAGGATACTGGTGAGGTAAATACATCTTGAATCAAGTCAAGAAGATACATCTCCAAGTAGTGACTGATAATAGTGATTTTTAGCAGATTTCAGAGTAACACCTTAATGATTTTGAGCTTCCATAATATTTTCTAATGAGACAATCTTGTCTTTTCTTATGCTAGCCATGTATTTTGAAATAGAAATCAGAGTTCATTGGCTTATATTTTTATTGGTATTAGTAGGTCATAGTAGACAAAGCTTGGGTAGTTACTGACATAAAAGTGATGTCTGAGAATTGCCTTGTGAGTTCTGATGAAAGGCAATCCCATGCGCTGTCCAGTCTGATAGTGACAGGGGTCACTGAAAAAAGCACCAGGGAAGGGGTGGTTCCCTGATCACTATTACGAAACAGAAAACAGAAAGGCAAATCAATTGCCAAAATTCAGAAAGTCTGAAGCAGAGAAGGAATACTGACAGTTGTTGATTAAGTCTATTGGAATAGCTATGATGCTTATTTTGTTCTTCCAGGCAGCAAACCAAGCAGATTTTTATCCAGCGATTTCTGCATTAATCTTCCTAAAGCAGGGTAGAGGGTTGAAATTATTTTTCATTGTATGCGGCAGATTTGCTATTATTACACTTTTTAGGAAATAATGTGTTGTTGTCATAAGACTTTCCCCAAGATCTTGAAAGTTCACATTTTATTTCATTTTAATTTTTTTTTTTTACTGATTCTAAATAAGGTAATCTGCTTAGGTTCCATCTTTTGAGGCTTTTCCTAAATTCCAGCTGACTTGTAAAGCTTTTTCTTTTGTTGAGAAGACTTCTGTGTTAGGAACTTTCTCAAGTTCTTTGTTTTGGTCTTAGGTAGCCTGATTTGGAGAGTAGAGGAAATGTTCTGGGTGGCACCTCTCTAGTCCAGTAAATTCTAGTTTGTAAAAATGGGGCAAACATCACAAATGTAGTAATTTATCTTTTCCTAAGAATTAGATTTACTTGTGGGTATGTGGGATTTTTAAGTATTCCAGGGGTCTACAACAAGTGGCAAGAGTATGAGAAGCCAAGGTTAAGTAAGTAGATAACAAGAATATATACCCAGTATTTTAAATAGTATCAGAAATGTGCTTCTGTTCCCAGCTCTCATGCAAGGTAGCTACTCAAATACTAAGGCATACTAACAGTCTGTATACTAAATTAAAAGCTGATAACATTCAGAATTTTCTTCTGCAGCCTGTTATTTACTACTTAGTAAAATGGTGTTCATTGCCATATGAAGACAGTACATGGGAGCTGAAAGAAGATGTAGATCAAGCAAAAATAGAAGAATTTGAACAATTGCAAGCTTCCAGGCCTGACTCCAGGAGACTGGTAAAATTATATCTAATTTACTTGTCTGTCTTGGCAAATTGGATATGGTTTTCCCAACTTTAAGCTTTTGTGTTAAAACATAAGGCTTATTGGCATTCTGTGTAAAGGATTTCTGTGCCTTGTTACCTAGGAATAACGATATTTTCAGGTAGGCATAGATAAAATTCTCATTTAATTTGTTACTCTGTTAAAAAACAAATGTTTACGAAAAAATATTAAATGCTAAACTTTGAGTGATGAGCAGTATATTGAAACTGACTATCATAGAATCTAAACGGTTTTAAGACAAGGAGAAAACAGAATAAAGTATAAACATCCTTTAGAGAACACAGTTAAGTCTTGTGCTTTGACACTGAAGGAAATTGGCAAACGAGATCTGTCAAGCAGATTCTGTAATTACTTCTTGCTTTTATTTTTCCTCTTGTCATAAAGGGCTAGCTGAAAGGAAGAAAAATGCACCTAATAAGGAAATGTGGTTTATCTTTAAATTATCAGTTTTCTGTCTCATAGAGCAGGAGAAAACAAAATAGTTCTATTTGAAGCCCTGTATGTCATTGTCAGAGTGAGACGTGTGTCCTGTGTGGTGTAGTACCACACTTGTTCTGACTTACTTATTTTACATAACTGAATATGCACAGTGTTCTGATTTGTAGGCTTGTATTTTAATATTTTTTTCCGTCTATGGGCAATGACAGTCACAATTAATGTATTCTTATTATACTTAATTCATTTTTCTAGTGTTTATTTTAAATTCTGCCATTTTGGCATGTGGAAAGAAGGGCTTTTATACTTCTCTGTTGCCATATTTGGCTTTGAGAAAAAAAGTGCACCTGTACAACTGACAGTCATTTTAGCATCAGCAACAAATATTTTCTGTTCCAGGCTCCAGCAACTACAAGGAAGTGTTTGCTGACAGCAGCCCTGCAAGCAGGAGCCTGGCTGCTCCTGGTGTGGGGGAGTGGACAGATGGGTGCTTTGGGAGAGGGGAGGAAGCCACAGCTGCTGGGGAGGGACAGATACTGCTGCTCAGAGATGGGTCTCAGGTGATGTTGACATTGGCAAGAAAGAGGTACAAAATTCAGAGCTGGGCAGATAAGGCCACATGAGTCTAGAGTGAATGCAAGCTTTTATAAAAACTGAGAAATGGGGGGGAGTGCAGCTGATCATGACAGCTTGTAACTAAAAATATTTTTGCTCGAATGTGTGGGTTTGTTCAAGGTACAAAGCAGAAGCTATCTGAAGAGAGTGTTTTCTGCTGGAATCCTACCTAGTATAAATCAAGACCTTCATAATTTCTCTAAGTTCCCTGCTAAGCTTATGGCCAGCCAGTTTAGTCTCCAGGCTTGGGAACTAGTGTGTGTTTGTGTATATTTATATGTAGCTTCTCAGCTTTCCTTTAGCTTGCTAGGGACATTATGATGATGTGCCTTGATACTGTTATGGTCTATTTTGTCATGTTCTTTGCATCATGATATTGTGTATGCTTATACTGTCTTTCATCTGATCCCTTGGTGAAATCGATTCAGGGAACTAAACTGCTCACAAGTCTACTTGTTTATGTTCCAGTTGTTGGCTTCCTGAATTGGCTGTGAGATTGAGTGATCAGCAGTGACCAGGTCAAGTGCAGAAAGGAAAGGGCAAGATCATAGTAACTGTGTAGATTGCCCAAATGGCTTCAGAAGGATAGTGTCAGCATCAAGAGTTACTCAGACTTTGGGGATTTTGGTAGTCCCAAATACTTGGTTAGCTCTGGCTGTAGGACAGCTGTTCTTAGAGCTTACAAAGTGAAACTTCATATATTCTTGAAGCTTCTTGTGTAAGTGAATTAGTGTTTCAAATTACCAGTGCCAAGCTATTTGCATTCTTAGTTTTAGAAATTAGTTGCTTGATATTATTATAATAGGGTATTAAATTAATTTTCAAAGTGTTACTTTAGAGAAATACAAATTTCAGGTTTCCACAAACTAGCAATTAGTAAGCAATGTTAACACCTTCCCAGTTTTAAGGTTGAATTGTAAGTCTAAGTTGTTAACACTTTGGAAATAGTGGGTTTAAAAGTTCTTGAAAAATAAAGCATTTACCAACTTGCACATGTATTAATCTTTCCCTTAAAGGACCGACCACCTCCAAACTCCTGGAAGAAGATAGAACAGTCCAGGGAATATAAAAATGGCAATCAGCTCAGGGAATATCAACTGGAAGGACTTAACTGGCTCCTATTCAACTGGTACAATAGGTATATCTATGGAATGGTTTTTAATGTAAACTTTAAACCATATGGGGTGAATCATTATTACTGGGGATGAATCAGTTTTAGTTAAATTTATCTTAATCTCTCTGCTCATAGCTAAAAGGGTGTAACTGGAAAAAAATCTATTCCTTTGGGTGTACAAATATGTTTTTAAGATTTGCTTTGTTATTCTCGTTGATAAAAGACTAAAACTAACCTAACTGAAAATAAATTTTCAAGACCTATGAGGAAATTAAAATAAAAGGCAACTTCCACCAAAGTACAAGCTTTCAGAATTTTTGGAACAACTAGGAAATATTTGCATATTTCAAAATGATTTCTAGAATTAGTTTGTATTCCAAATAAAGTTACTTTCTTCAAAATTAAGTCTAGTAAATAATTGTATTTTCTGTGTTGTCAGCTAAAGTTAATTTTTGTTAAACAACGCTATGATACATTAACAGGAATATAAAAGCTTTCAAGATTGTTTTTTTCCCAGAACAGTGTATTTTCTCTGTATGTAAATTGGATTTCTATTCATGAACATAGGTTATGTCAGTGAGCATACAATTTCACCATACAATTTGTTTTAATTCTTAGTCAAGCACTACATAGCTGTGTGAGCATGTGTGCAAACAGCTTGAAGGGCTGGAATGTATGGCTGAGGGTGAGCACCTAGTGGTACTTCATGTAGTAATTTGATTATATGCATCTGTCTCAGTCCTGAAAACAGGAAGGGAAATTTGGCAGTGATGCTATAATGCACTCCTTTTATGTGAGTGTAGCTGGGATACTTTCCATCTGTGACTTTTGGGGAATCTTCATTAATTTCTAGCAGTTTTGTCAAGGTGAGTGTACATGTACGAAATCTGATTGATTTGAAATCCTTTAATTAGGGCAGATGTAGCTTCAAAACAATACTTTTCAAATCTTTTTCTAGGAAAACCTCATAGAACACTCTATTCTCAGTTTTTTGACAGCAGTAAACATGATTGAAAGCTTGTGGTTTTGTATACTGAGTTCATTCTTTCACCATAACCAGGGAACCTTTGCAAGCATCTTTTACAGTGCTCCAATTTTGACTGTTTGACTTTGATTTTATAAATTGTCCATTTGAATAACAGCTTTAGTGTCTTTACTTTCTCTGATGCTAATCACAAATATATTTTGTTTTCAGGCAAAACTGTATTTTAGCAGATGAAATGGGTCTTGGCAAAACCATTCAGTCAATTACATTCCTCTATGAAATCCTCCTGGCTGGTATAAGAGGGCCTTTTCTAATCATAGCTCCGCTTTCCACCATAACAAACTGGGAAAGAGAATTTCGCACGTGGACTGACCTTAATGTTGTAGTGTATCATGGAAGCATGATCAGCAGGCAGATGATTCAGCAGTATGAAATGTACTTCAGGGACTCACAGGTAATGTAATGACACTTGTATGCTGTAACTTACCCAAAACCTGTTTCAGGTAGTAGTAATGAAAGCAAACTTTACATTATCCATACATATGTCTTAGTGAAGGTCATTTTACATCCCGTGATGTGTTTTTCAAGCTTTTTACATATCAAAATCTTGAACATATCCTTACTGAGCTAATTTTGTGGAAGTGGTTGCAGCAAGGTATATATTATTTTGGGATGGTGAGTAATTTTGCAATTGAATAGCAGTGATGCTGTTACTCATTGTGGAGATGGAAGTGTACACAGATGGTTGCAGTTGAGTCCTGAATATGAAGAGCAGCGAGAACAAAAATACAGCCAATTAAGCTCTACGTTACTTTTATGTAGCTGTTGATTTCCTTTTTCCTAGCTTTGTCTGTGTACAGTTTGCTTTTCTACCTGAAAAAATTCACATTAAATGGCATGAAATCTGTGTTTTTCCCCCATTCTATATATTATGTATAAACTTTTTTTAACCATCACTATATTTCTACAAAATTGATAATGCTGCAAACTTTTTTTTAAGTAGTGCTAAATATTAAAATGGCATTTGTTTCTCCAGTGACTTATTGTATGCTGCCTTTTGAAGGCCTTTACATATTCTCTTTGTCAGATGACCCGAGTTGAGTAAGTTGGAGGAAAAGTGTTCATTTAGTCCTCAGGTGATACTTTCATTATTTACTGTATAAGTGATAAATGTATTACTGTCATATATTTTGATTGACAGGGTTTTTCCTGTCAGTCTTTCAGATTTTCCCAGGGTTAAAAATGTGATACTATCTATATACACCTTTTTGAAACAGTTTTATTAGATGGTTGTATCTGTAATTTAAAAGTGCTTAACATTTTATTGTTGGTTACATAATATTGGATTTATGGCTATGGATAATTACTCATTAGTATTAATTACAGAGTTATGGAGATAAAATAAATGTATATGGGATGACAAAACAATTTATAATGTAAAATCTGATGTCTGGCTCTTGATAAAATTTCAGCAACAAAAATCTTTAAATTGAATAGATTCAAGGTAATGTAACAACTTCTATGTGTTGATGAATCTCTAGGGATGTATCATTCGTGGTACCTACAGATTCCAAGCCATTATCACAACTTTTGAAATGATTCTTGGTGGGTGTCCAGAGTTAAATGCCATTGAATGGCGATGTGTTATTATTGATGAAGCTCACAGACTGAAGAACAAAAACTGCAAACTCTTGGAAGGACTAAAATTAATGAACCTTGTGAGTAACCATATTTCACTTTTGGGGTTTGATTCCAGTTAAGTACAGTACAATAATAAATCATAAGTTTAATGTAATTTTTTGTGCAGTAATTAATGTTTAAAAACATGGAAAGTATTTTAAACAAGTTTTCTAACAATAAAAGCAAGTAGTAAAATGTCAAACAGAATTATTATCTAGTCCTGTAGTTAAGGTTTCATTTGATGTAGCTTTTTTAAAAGCGGATACAACCATGAATCTTCAGGCTTTTGGTGCATTACTAGAAGATCCACCATGACGAGTTTTGCATTGCGCATTTGATTTCATTCTTACTTTGATACGCTTGTTGCTACATGTTCTCAGTAGTCATCTTACTTGCTTTTTGATAAATGCTTAGTGTGTATATTTTAACCACAATAGAGAGGATTATACATGTGTGACTGTTACAGGAAAATTTGTAGTGTTCAGTCATTTCTTCATTACCGATGTAGGAAGACAGGATTTAATAAAAAGCTAGTAGAAAATACTTAACTGTTGTTCCTGATAAATCTGTTCAACTGTATTATCTGTGTACTTACTGACATGTAGAACTGGTATTTTCATGTTCTGAAACTGAGACTTAACACAAAAGTTTTTGCAAATGTGTGCACATACGGTCATAGGAGTTTTGTTTCCTTTTGTAGGAGCATAAAGTGCTGTTAACAGGTACCCCTCTGCAGAACACAGTAGAGGAATTATTCAGCCTCCTTCATTTTCTTGAACCTTTGCGTTTTCCTGCTGAATCTACATTCATGCAAGAATTCAGAGACCTTAAAACAGAGGAACAGGTATAGCATGTTGCATAAGTTCATTTTGAGCTTCAGTGTGCAAGAGTGACTTCCTCAAAGGGAAAACTTCTGTTTTGGATATTAAATGTTATTGCTCCCCACATACTCCCTATGAGATCTTTTGTCATGTGATTTCTCTGAACTTTGCAGGCAGTAGAAATCAGTTAAATATGATATTTTATATAAAAGAATTAATTTGGGGGGCCAGTATTTTAGATTTGGCAACTAGCGAGAATAATAAAAAATTGAAGCTTTCTGGCTTAAGAATCATAGATTAGTTAGGGTTGGAAAGGACCTTAACACCATCAAGTTCCAACCCCCCTGCCATGGGCAGGGACACATCACACTAAACCATGTCACCCAAGACTCCATACAACCTGGCCTTGAACACTGCCAGGGATGGAGCATTCACAACTTCTCTGGGCAACCCGTTCCAGTGACTCACCACCCTCACAGTAAAGACCTTCCTCCTTATATCCAATGTAAACTTTCCCTGTTTAAATTTGAACTCGTTACCCTTGTCCTGTCACTACAGTCCCTAATGAACAGTCCCTCCCCAGCATCCTTATAGGCCCACTTCAGATGCTGGAAGGCTGCTATGAGGTCTCCACACAGCCTTCTCTTCTCCAGGCTGAACAGCTCCAATTTTCTTGGACCGTCTTCACACAGGAGGTGCCCCAGTCCCCTGATCATCCTTGTGGCCCTCCTCTGGACTTGTTCCAACAGTTCCATGTCCTTTTTATACTGGTCACGCTCCTTTTAATGCAGCCCAGGATATGGTTGGCTTTCTAGGCTGCAAGCACACACTGCTGGCTCATGTTCAGTTTCTCATTGACCAACACCCCCAAGTCCTTCTCTGCAGGGCTGCTCTGAACCTCTTCTCTGCCCAACCTGTAGCTGTGCCTGGGATTGCTCCGACCCAGGTGTAGGACCTTGCACTTGGCATGGTTAAACTTCATAAGGTTGGCATCAGCCCACCTCACGAGTGTGTTAAGGTCCCTCTGGATGGCATTCCTTCCCTCCAGTGTATCAACTGAACCACACAGCTTGGTGTCATTGGCAAACTTGCTGAGGGTGCACTAAATCCCACTGTCCATGTCACCAACAAAGATTTTGAACAAGACCAGTCCCAACACCAATCCCTGAGGGACACCACTTGTTACTGGTCTCCAGCCAGACATTGAGCCATTGACCACAACTCTTTGAGTGCGGCCATCCAACCAGTTCTTTATCCACCAAGTCGTCCATCCAATAAATTGATGCCTCTCCAATTTAGAGATAAGGATGTCGTGTGGGACAGTGTCGAATGCTTTGTACAAGTCCAGGTAGATGACATCAACTGCTGTGCCCCTGTCCATCAGTTCTGTAGCCCCATCATAGAAGGCCACCAAATTGGTCAGGCAGGATTTGCCCTTAGTGAAGCCATGCTGGCTGTCACCCAGCACCTTGTTGTTTTTTATGTACCTTAGCATGCTTTCCAGGAGCAACTGCTCCAAGATTTTGCCAGGCACAGAGGTGAGACTGACTGGTCTTTAATTCCCTGGGTCATCCATTTTCCCCTTCTTGAAAATGGGGGTTATATTTCCCTTTTTCCAGTTGTTGGGAACTTCACCTGACTGCCATGATTTTTCAAATATGATGAACAGTGGCTTAGCAACTTCATTTGCCAGCTCCTTCAGGAGCTGAGGATGGATTTCATCAGCTCCCATGGACTTGTGCACGTTCAGGTGCTTAAGATGGTCTCAAACCACATCCTCTCCTACAGTGGGCCTAGGGTCTTCATTCTCACAGTCCCTGTATCTGCCTTCCAGGACTTGGGTGGTGTGGTCAGAGCATTTGCCAGTGAAGACTAAAGCAATAAGAGCCTCAGCCTTCTCCAAATCCAGGGTAGCCAGTTCTGATAGCTTCCGGACAGGCCCCACGTTGCCCCCAGTCTTTCTTTTATTTGCAGTGTAACTATGGAATCCCTTCCTGTTATCTTTCACATCCCTAGCCAAGTTTAATTCTAACTGGGCCTTAGCTTTCTTAACCTGGTCCCTAGCTTCCTGGAGAACATCCCTGTATTCTTCCCAGGCTGTCTGTCCTTGCTTCCACCTTTTATAAGCCTCTTTTTCCCCTCAAAGTTTCCTCAGCAGCTCCTTATCCATCCATGGAGGTCTCCTGGCCCTCCTGCTGCACTTCCTTCTAGTTGGGACACAACACTCCTGAGCTTGTAGCAGGTGTTACTTGAATATCAGCCAACAGTCTTGGGGCCCCCTGCCCTCTAGGGCTATATCCCATGGAACCTTACTAAGCAGGTTCCTGAAGAGGCCAAAGTCTTCTCTCTTGAAGTCCAGGGCAGGGAGCTTGCTGAACACTTCTCACTGTCCTGAGGATCTTGAACTCGACCATCTCATGATCACTACAACCAAGGCTGCCCTGGAGCATCACATTTCTAACCAGCCCTTCCCTGTTGGTGAGCATAAGGTCAAGCATGGCACCTCTCCTTGTCGGCTCCTCTGATACTTACAGGAGGAAGTTGTCTTCCACGCAATCGAGGAGCTTCCTGGATTGCTTGTGCCAGGCCGTACTGTCCCTCCAACAGATGTCAGGGTGGCTGAAGTCCCCCATGAGGACAAGGGCCTGCAAGCATGAGGCTTTTCCTATCTGTCTATAGAGTGCTTCATCCACAGAGTCCTCTTGATCAGGCAGTCTGTTAACAGATCCCCACACTAATGCCCCCCATAGCTGTTCTTCCTTTAACCCTGACCCACAAACTCTCTGTGGACTGCTCACCTGTCCCCAGACAGAGTTCCATATTCTCCAGCCTATCCCTAACATAAATAACATCTCCCCCTTGCCTTCTGATGGGCCTGTCCTTTGTAAAGAGCCTGTAACCTTCCATTCCAGCACTCCAGTCATAGGAGCCATCCCATGTTTCTGTGATGCCTATTATATCATATCCTTGCAGACATGCACACATCTCTAATTCCTCTTGATTGTTCCCCATACTACGGGTATTTGTATAGAGGCATCTGAGCCGAGCTCCAAATGAAGCCAGCTCATTGACTGGAGCGGCTGGAATATCTCTACATTGCTCTGAGCCTTTATTATAGGTGCTGGCAACTGACTGGGAGTGCTGGGATGGAATGATGCCCCCCTCCCCCAACACATCTAGTTTAAAGCTTTCTTGATCAGCCTGGTAAGCCTCCTACCAAAACCTCTTCCCCTTCTTTGTCAGACCAGCTCCACCAGCCTCCAGTATACCTGGTCTCCCAAATTGAGTCCCATGTTCTAGATACCCAAACCCTTGACTATGGCTCTGCTGTTCTAACCATTTATTAACCTGCCAAATCCCCCTAGCCTCTTTAAGGTCCTCCCCTTTATCCTGGAGAATTGATGAAAAAGATGTCTGAGCTTTAGAGCCCCTAACCACCTCTCCCAGGGGTCTGTAGTCTTTCTTCATGTTCTGTGGGCTACTGCTGTCTATATCACTAGCACCCACATGAATGACTGGAAGTGGGTAATAGACAGTGGGACTTATTAGACCAGACAGCCTCTGTACAAAATCCCTTATCTGAGCCCCTGGTAGGCAACACACCTCCCTTGAGACTGGGTCAGGCCAATAGATGGTTTCCTCTATGCCTTTCAAAGTAGAGTCCCCTGCCTGCTGCTTTTTTCCTGGCAGCACCAGTAGTCATCTTCTTTACCCAAGCATTAGCCGGTTGTTCATTTTTCAAGTATGTTTCCTCATTAGTCCCCTGCAGAACTGCAAAGCATTTCTGGGTGGGGACAACAGATTTAGGAAGAATCCCCTTGCTTTTAATTGTCCTCTTTCTCCTTTTTTATTTTTGTTAGGTTTTTTTTTTTTTGTTACTCTTTCCCAGCTTCCTGATTTGATGCCCTCCTCTTTTCTGCATGATTTACAATGGATGCTGTGCGCTGCAGCCTCCCCTCTCATAGGCTCTGTCTGGGTGCCTATGCTGGCCACAGCCAGAGCAGAGCTCCCAGACCGGGCCCTGGTCATAAGGCGAGTGCTCACCATCCCGCTCGCCTGCCAGCTTGACCTGTTGCACCAAACTCCTGGTCGCTCGTGCTCCCTTGTGCAGGTTTCTAACCAGTCAGGGCTGGTGCCGCTGCTCCTGGCTCCGCCCCCTGTGAGTCAGCTGCTCGCGTCAGCTGAGCTGCCGGCTCCTGGGCAGGTCCTGTTGAGGGTTTGAGGCTTCCTCGGTAACTTCTGCTGGTCTGAATTGAAGTTCCTGGATGCTGAGCTTCCCTCCACTGAGGTGTTGAAGGCGTTCTCTCTCGAGCTACTCACCTCAGCAATTTACCGCAGCAGTTCTGTTTTGTAGGCAGAGTCTTTGCAGGCAAGTATTAAAAAGATACTCTTTTTATTGGTTTTGGAGTACGTCAAAAAAATCTTAAGTACTTTGGGATTAAAAATAAGGCTATATACCATCTGGCAAATATATGTAAGTCTAGGGAAAAAAAATGATGTAGAGTACAAAAGTTTTTCATTAAACTATATTATTATTTTTCATGTTTGAACCAACTGTTGTGTTTCATTTAGGTTCAGAAACTACAAGCTATTCTGAAACCCATGATGCTCAGACGTTTAAAGGAAGACGTAGAAAAAAAGTTGGCTCCAAAGGAGGAAACTATAATTGAAGTAGAACTAACTAATATTCAGAAGAAATATTATCGAGCGATTCTGGAGAAAAATTTTGCTTTCTTATCCAAAGGAGCAGGGCAAGCAAATGTACCCAATCTGGTTAACACCATGATGGAACTCAGAAAATGTTGTAATCACCCTTACCTCATCAAAGGTAAATACATGATAAAGACTGATGATTTTAATTTTTTATTGATTTTTTTCTATTAATTTTAGTACTTTTGTAGTTCTTAAATATTTAAAATATATAAGAGCTTTTGTATTTCTTAAATGTTTTCATCAGACTTTCCAAGGGACTGGATTAGGTGGAAGCATGTTTTTGATAGATGTAAGGCAAAGTTGTGATGCATTTGCATATTTAAGGCCTGAAATGTGAACTTGCTTTGTAGGATTTTACAGAATATTTAGAAGCTATTATCTCATGGGAATGTTACATATCTTTAAAGGCAGTGTGAAGAACAACTAGACCTAACTTTTAATGCTTCTCATAAGTGATATGGTCTGTGTCAGTCTTCATTGTTTTTCTCAGTTACTTATAACTGATTTGGATAGTTTTTTAAGCTCCTGAAGTTTTTGCTATGATTTTAATCATAGTGGGACTTAAGAAAAAGTCTTTAGAATGCTGTTTCTTAAGATTCCTGTCCCATTTAAAATATCACAGAGACTCAAGGACTTGTGGTTTTTCAGTTGTTGGGGTTTTTTGTTTGTTTTTTTTTGGGGGGTGTGTTTTGTTGGTTTTGGTTGGGTGGTGTTTGTTTTTTTTTGTTGTTGGTTTTTGTTTTTTTTTATGTGACACATGAGAACAAGTGGTTTTGGTTTTGCAGTTGGGGGATTTACCTTGTTCTAGGTGTTCTTTCTGTGGTACTCTGATTAAAAACTTCAGGCTGCTTTTCAAAGAGCACAGAAATAGATGTTCTTGATAGACTTTAGATCCATCTAGAACTTTGTTCTTTCTTCAGCAGCAACTAATGGAGGCATGTTTAGAGTACAAGCACCGATTTTTTTTTTTTGATTTTTTTTTTTGATTTTTTTTTTTTTTTTTTGGAACTTGGCCTTGTATGTACATGGAGATATTTGTGTAGATACACCTGTAGATACAGAAATAAAATCTTTGATAGGTGCTGAAGAGAAAATCCTTGGAGAGTTTAAAGAAACATATAACCTAAGTGCTCCAGACTTCCATCTGCAAGCAATGATCCAGTCTGCTGGTAAATTGGTTCTTATTGATAAACTTCTTCCAAAAATGAAAGCAGGAGGCCACAAAGTCCTTATCTTCTCTCAAATGGTGCGCTGCCTTGATATTTTGGAGGATTACCTTATACATAAAAGGTAAGATACTCCCTATTCTGTCTCCTGTAGTATGTTGTTCTCTGTGGGCATATCTTTGAATATTAGTGTAGGATTAGTGATTACAGCACACCAGAGATAGGAATTCTTTCTTTCTGGCTAATCACTATGTAACTTGCTGTGGCGGCTTACCATTTATTCACCAACAAATGAAACCTTCAGAGAGGTTGTTACAGTCAATTGTTGCTATATCAACCTGAAAAAAAAAATATAAAAAGACATAGTTCTGGTTGTTTTAATAGTCTATTTGTTGGAATGTACATTTTGCTTTGAAGTGTATATTTGTCAGTATACTACATAGAATCATAGAATCGTTAGGGTTGGAAAGGACCTTAAGATCATCTAGTTCCAACCTCCCTGCCGTGGGCAGGGACACCTTACGCTAAATCATATCACCCAAGGCCTCGTCCAACCTGGCCTTGAACACTGCCAGGGATGGAGCATTCGCAACCTCCCTGGGCAACCTATTCCAGTGCCTCACCCCACCCTAACAGGAAAGAATTTCCTTCTTATATCCAACCTAAACTTCCCCTGTTTAAGTTTTAACCCGTTACCCCTTTTCTTGTCACTACAGTCTCTAATGAAGAGTCCCTCTCCAGCATCCCTATAGGCCCCCTTCAGATACTGGAAGGCTGCTATGAGGTCTCCATGCAGCCTTCAGCAAGTTTGCCCATTACACCGAGCTGTGTGGTTCAGTTGATAATGATCCTGCTGTACTTGTCACTAGGGTTGGTGTAGCTGCTGTATTTGGAGTTGGAGTAGCTGCGTTGTCTGTTACCTTGCCATTGGATCCAGAGACATTTTTTTCCCTTTGAAGGCTCTGGATAGTGTTGAACAGGGCTCTGTAAGCATAGGCCAAGGCCCAGCACGTTGCCATGATTTGTCCTACTCTGGTATGACAAGGATGACAACACACCTCCTTTAAGTGTTTTACTAATTTTTCTTAAATTTGCACTTGTTCAGTGGTGAGGCTCCAAAGCACTGGAGGGGCCCACTGGCCTAGATATTTGCCCATACTATCGCACACACCCTGCAACTCATGACTGTCCAGCCTCAGGGAAAAATCTCTTGGTCCTTCTATAACATCTATATTACATAGTAATATAGAGTTTGCATGTTAAAAATTAGTGAGAATGTCAAGCCTTCCTGCAGCGGATACTGGAAGGTATATTGAAAGCCATTACTAGAATATATTAAAATCTCCTTTTGTGATAATTTTATATAACTTCTATTCTTCTATGGTTTTGGTTTCATAAAACAGTCTATTTGAGCTGCAAGCTCAACAGTTTGTATGTTTTATTTTAATAAACTAATTTTAATTTCATAGTAGTATCCAATATGGAAAATACTCCTTTTTCTGTAATGTTGTAACATCTAAACTAGTGCATCACATTTACAGGTAGAATTTTCTGAAATCCATAGGAGGTGAAACTTGCTCATGCTGCTCTTTGATTAGAAATTTTAGAGTGCACTCATGATTAGACTTCATATTTAACAGAATTCATGACTGTAGGAGATGGCTGCCTGCCAAAATGGCTGTGGTCCTGTGGATTATCTGCTGTGCCATTTTATAGCTGATTAGTAGAAAAATGGTTTTGAGGCTCTTTGACTAACAGATACACATTCAACACCTTCATCTACAATGTACAGAAGCATTTGCTCTCTTTTTAAGCATTTCACTTGATTTCAGAAGTTTCATTGGAGTTTTTGTAACTATCAAAAGTAACAAAAATGACAGCTCTACTTCAGGCTTTTAAATTTGCTGGTTTTACTTTAGGAAGCCCTGGATTCATTGATGCCTTGATAAAGACTGTTAGAGGTGCTGTCCATATCATTTTTGTTCTGTTCCTATGACTCTTGACAGAATTGATATGCAGTTTGTCCAATGATAGCTTACCAGGGACTGCTTTCTGCTGGTTACTTGGTTACCCCTAACATGTGCAGACAATTTGGTATATAATACGAAAGATCATTGTCCTGCTACTGTGACCCCAGGCAGGGATCTAAGCATAATAGCATGTGAAAAACTTGTAAGTGTCCACTTGGGACTTCAGGTTATGGTGTGTTTTAGTGCAGCAAAGTGCCATGGTAATACATGTTTCCTGGTATATCTAACCAGGTACTTGCTTTAATGAAGCAATTTCAGATGAACTTCTCTTAAAATGCTCAGTGTTTGTATTTGCTGATGTGTATTGGTACTACAGATATGCAAGTTCTGTCATGATTCCTTGTTATGTTATTCTCTGATAATCAAAGTTAGTTGGCATCACTTCTATTCACCATAAAGAATGAATATGCAAGCAGGAGATCTGTTCTAATCCCTCTTTGTGTGTGTGTGTATCCATGGCAATTTCCAGATACTTGTATGAACGAATTGATGGGCGAGTACGAGGCAATCTCAGACAAGCTGCCATTGACCGGTTCAGCAAGCCAGATTCCGACCGTTTTGTCTTCCTTCTGTGCACCAGAGCTGGTGGTTTGGGCATTAATTTGACTGCAGCAGATACATGTATAATTTTTGATTCTGATTGGAATCCTCAAAATGATCTTCAGGTAAATTCTTTTGAGCATAATAGTGAAATCTAAGCAGTCAAACCTGGCTGATAAAAATTTGATCAGTTATAATGTTGTCTTCATTTTGAATATGCATAATTTTAAAATTTTCATATTTTTGTAAGGCAAATATTTCATGGTTTTTGATGAATACTTTCTACTTGGATAGGAGAGGTCATCTGGGTTTGGATGGGTTCTACCTTTTCCTTTCAAATTGATTACACTTCGAAAGCACAACACAAGTAAACTAAGCCAATAAGTAGATAAAATGCTTAAGACTTTGATGACACTTTGAAACCAGGGATTGGATTTTGCATTTGCTGACTAACACAATTTTTGGAAATAGAGTTGTTCAGCTAAAACATAATATATAGAAAATGAGTAATGTGTTGTCGTGGTTTATACCCTAGACAGACAGCTTGTTCACTCACTCCCAGTGAGTGGTGCAGGGCTGAGAGCAATTGAGCCCCCCCCCCCCCCCCCCCCGGGGCTCTCCCCTTCCCTGCTCCCGTGAGGGATGGGGAGGAGGATCGAACAAGTGCAATGCCAGGGGTTGAGACAAGAACAGTCCAGCAACCAATGTACAACACAAATCACCACCGCTACCACCAACGACAACAATGATAAGAGAAAATAACAAGGGACGAGGATACAATACCACTCGCCAAGAAACGAGTCCCACCCGGAAGCCCGTGTCCTTCTGGGTAACTCCCAGTTACCCCCCACCCTGGGCATGACGTGCTGTGGTATGGAATACCTCTTTGGCTAGCCTGGGTCTGGCGCCCCATCTCTGCTTCCTCCCGGCTTCCCCTCCCTGGCAGAGCATGAGCCTCACAAAGTCCTTGGTCAGGGTAAACATCACTTAGCAACAACCAAAAACATCGGTTTCACCAATACTGTTCCCAGGCTGGAAGTCAAAACGCAGCACTGCACCAGCTACCACGAAGGAGAAAAATGACTGTTACTGCTGAACCCAGGACATGTGTATTAAGATACAAAGAATGAATCAAATCTAGGAATTGGTTCCTGAAATTGAATTCAGTCTTAAGTCGCAACTCCTTTACCCTTTTGTCATGGTTTAAACCGAGCTAGTAACTCAGAACCACGTAGCTGCTCGTTCCTTCCCCGCCCCCCTTCTTCTTCCTCCTGCTACTGGAGGGATGGGGAAGAGAATCAAAAGAGTGTAAATCCCATGGGTTGAGATAAGAACAGTCCAGTAACTAAGGTACATTACAAAACTACTGCTACTACCACCAATAATAATGATAAGGGAAATAACAAGAGGAGAGAATATAAAACTAAAAGGGGAAAAGGAAAAGAAAACAAAGTGATGCACAATACAGTTGCTCACCACCCGCCAACCAATACCCAGCCTGACCTGAGCAGTGATATGGGCCTTCCGGGTAACTTCCTCCAGTTTATATACTGGGCATGACATGCTGTGGTATGGAATATCCCTTTGGCTAGTTTGGGTCAGGTGTCCTGTCTCTGCTTCCTTCTGGCTTCCCATGCCCCTCCTCACTGGCAGAGCATGAGAATGAAAAGTCCTTGATCAGTGTTAGCAGTACTTGGCAACGACTGAAAACATCAGTGTGTTATCAGCACTGGTCTCAGGCAAAAGTTGAAAACACAGCACTGCACCAGCTACTAAGGAGAAAAATGACTGCTACAGCTGAACCCAGGGCAAATGTGTATTTGGAGATCATATAACTTAGGTGTTAGCTTGTCTTGTTACGTAGTTACTGCAAGAGAAACACTATTCTGTAGCATTCAGCACAGATCCTTCCTCTTCATTTTACTTACTATACTGTTTTTAGAAAACTTCACAATGCAGAAAATGTCTGGTAGTTTCTATTTAGTTATATGTGAATTGACTTCCTTTTGAGTTCATGCTGTTGTTTTTCAGACTGTGCTACCGCAGAAATAATTTCTTGAAAGAAGAGGATCTTATTCCTAGATATGTCTAAATTCTTTCTGCTATTCTTTTCTCCCTTCAAAAGGCTCAAGCCCGTTGTCACAGGATTGGTCAGAACAAAGCAGTGAAGGTCTACAGACTGATAACACGGAACTCCTATGAGAGAGAGATGTTTGATAGAGCAAGTCTGAAACTGGGACTAGATAAGGCTGTCCTCCAGAGTATGAGTGGAAGAGAAAGCACTGGTGGTGTATGTAGACATTTCTTGAAATAACTCCTTTTGCTTTGTTAATCACATGGGAACTATTTTAAATTACAGAACCTACCATTTCTCTGTTGTTTGCATCTGGGTTACGTTTTCTGATGTGGACTAACAGTGTAATTGACTTAATTTTAAATGTAGTCAATTACTCTGATAAATCTCATTATTTCTTGCTTATTAAGGTCCAAAGTAGATAATGCAAACAAGGAGGTAAGTTCCCTTTGTTTCCTTGTATCTTTTCATATTTATATATAATGTGTTACTTTAATACTAGATGTAAATCTCATCTTAATAGGTAATTCTTCTAAGCTTGTATTCATCATGGTGTTGGAACAACCAAAACAAAACATGTACCCGTAAAAATGTGTACTGTAACCACATAATAAATTGTTTCAATTGATGACCAGACTTTTATCTTAGCTTTTAATAATCTTGAATTTAAAATTTATAAGTTGTAAGACACAATTCAGTTGCACAAACATTTTTTTCTTCCCCCCCCCCCCCCAGATCCAACAACTCTCCAAAAAAGAAATAGAAGACTTGCTTCGAAGGGGTGCATATGGTGCCATTATGGATGAAGAAGATGAAGGCTCTAAATTCTGTGAGGAAGACATTGACCAAATTTTACAGCGTCGTACTAAAACTATCATGATTGAATCAGAAGGAAGGGGCTCCACATTTGCCAAGGTGTGGAAGCAGCAAGTTCTTCTTTGACAGTATAGAGCTGTAAATGTAACCAGTGCTGTAAAGCTTATGCTTTAAAAAAAAAAAAAAAAAGTTGTTTACTTTTATTTAATGTTTGTGTGTTAGGTACAGCTTTTGGGTTCCTACATCTATGTGTTTATACTAACAATGCATCTAGCAAAGTCAGTTTTGCACATACAGATTGTGTAATAGGCATGTGCTGCTTTTGAAAAGGCTAAGATTTGTGTGAGATATAATGGACTGCATTAACCAGGAATAGTAAACCAGCTTATTCTAAAAATGCCTGCATATAGGATACAGGTTGAACCTTGAGCTTTGTTAAGCAAAATATGACTGCTTCTGAAATAGCAAGGGGTGGAGAGTATATTTATGTGCCGGGGAAGGGGGGGGGGGGGGGGTGAGGCTGAGAGTGTAAGGTCTTAGAAGGAATAGTCTAGAATAAAATTGGACTGACACTTTTTATAATTTTTGGTACGTAGGAGAAAAACAGCAATATAGCATCCATGGAAAATTGGATGAACAGAATAAAAAGTAAATTTGGACTCCTTAATTTCCAAAGTATGTGCAAATATGAATCTGAACAAATACAAATTCAGGTAAATTAAAAAATACATAAATAAATCAAGCAGTATAACTGAGATTGGAATGTGGGTACTTGATGAATGCAGTTGTGACAGTTTCCCCCCCCAAGGCAAAGCAAAAGGAAAACTTACAAGAATATAAATATATATTTTTATATATATATATTTAAGATAAATTATATTTCTATATTTTATCTTATATTTTGCTTATTGTGTCTTATATAACAAACAGACTTCTAAAAACAATCACTATCAAAAAAAGTAAAAATTTTTGGTTTTACTTTTTTCCCCAAAAGCAGTATACTAGGGTTTTTAAAATGCCTTCTTGAAATTAAGCTTGTTCCACGCTCTCAAGCTTTGATTGTTAGTAGTTTAAACACTCCATTGAAATTTCCCTCACGCGAGTACTTTTGCATGAGATGAAATCCCCAAATGCTGATAAGTATCTTCAGAAGATCCTATTTTCTTCCATTCAACTCATTTAGATTCAGAATTAGAAGAATCTTGCTGCTTAATGTTGTTCTCTCCTGATGGAGCATAAGAGTTCATTAGATTTTTCTTATATATTATGGATCTGATTTAAAAAATTAAGGGGGAAGAGAACTTTTGAGACTTTTGGCACTGTAAGTAGCTTCTGAAGTCTTAACAGCTGCTTGGGAGGAGACTTTTGATGAAATAACCTTATGCAGTCTTCGCAGCACTGAGGCATTCAAACTCGACTGACTTTTGATGTATGATGTTGGTAAGATTAAGTTTTATTTATTACAGGCTAGTTTTGTTGCATCTGGAAACAGGACTGATATTTCACTAGATGATCCCAACTTCTGGCAGAAATGGGCCAAAAAAGCAGAAATAGATATAGATGCTATCAGTGGTAGAGTAAGTACTTCTCTTTCTAATGCATATTTTCTCAAGTATTTGTTTGCTGTTGAATTCTGAAATAGCAGGTGTAGAATTTCTGGTGCTTTTTTGTATTACTATTTCAACAAGTCAGACTTCTTGTGCTGGTTAATTTGTGCATGGGTAATTGTTGACGCGGGAGTCACGGACAACACAGACACGATCAATGTGATCAAGCGATTGCCAAATTTATTACAAAGCCTTAACTCCTTATATACTATTTCTTACATGCACTTACAGTGATTTGGCATATTATGATTGGATACATGTCTTGAAGACCCTTAGTGACTAACATATAATTGGTTAAGCACAGGTGTGACAACTTGACCTCGAAAGCTTGCCAACAGTCCACAGTTCTCATTATGTCAGTGAATTCCAGCTTCTTCTTATCTTGCTTGCTTAAGCTTCTTCAGGCCTCTCATGGCCTTGCTGTATCTTTCAGGATTATTCAGAGTTTATGTACCAATTATGCATTCTCCTGTGAGAGCACTGTCTCCACATCTCCCCCTTTTTGTTTTATATATGTTTTGGGTGACCCTACTTGAGCAGGGGATTTGTGCTAGATCATATCTCCAACATATGCCAACTACAGGCTGCTGGGCCTGCCCCTTTTTTCTCCTGTATGGCTCTCTGGTAACAGGGGAGGCAATCCTTCACATCAAGGTCTGGCATGGCATGTGTCCCCACCGCTCCACGCCTGCTGGGTTGCAGCCAACAGCAGAGCTAAAGGTTCTTCTTGGTGGCAAACACAGAGGCCAACCCAGTCTTGCCCTTGATTGTGGTAGCAGGCATTTTGTCATCCTCAGTCCTTGCACCTTGTTGTCAATGCAGAGTTTCACCTGCTTCATCCAGTAACAAGTCACTACTACAGCAAGGCACACACAAATTTACATTAGCAGAGTAACTATTACAGGGTGCAGCAGCATGTTGAAGATGTTGATGGCAGCGAGGGACTAGCCAAAGAAATTTCTTACCAGTGGAATTCTCCCACCCTCTTAATTTGTTCCATCACCTGCTTTATAACACTACCATTGTATTAGAATCTTTCCAGTTTTTGCCTTAGCATTTTCTAGCAGCTACTGCAAATTTCCATACCCTAACATCTCTTTTACAAATGACAAATCTATACAATACAAGGTGAAGTTCATTAGCAACTGGCTAGTAAATACAGGTGGTTTTATACACAAAATCTCAGCCTCTAATAATAGCTACTTTACAAACACACATATATTCAAGCTGTTACTTTTCATTTCCCCCCAAGTGATGTTTTGCAATCATTCATTTTTCTCTTCCCCTATCTCATTCTGCTTGGGGTATTCACGGTCAGCTCCTGTAGCTGAGGCATCAGGTTTTTCCAGTCGTCTGTCCAGCTCATGGCAAGGCTTGACAAACTTTGCAGGCAGTCTCCATGGACCTGTAGGCAGGAGGACACAAATATACCCCCTCCTCCAGTTTATCAGTTCTTGAGAAGCAGACAGGTTAAACTGCACATTGTTAACAGTCAAGGAGTTTGCTGCATCATTGCCTCTTTTTTTTTTTTTTTTTTTTTTGTTTTTCTGCCACCCTGATGCTGCTTAGGTGACGGCTCATAAAGCTTGTGGTTGCACTACCCCTCTCGCTTTTTTAGTTAGCAGTTCTTATTTCAACCGATCCATCTATTCCTCCAAGTCTTGGATTCACCCCAGGTTTCTTTAAACATACTAAGCAGGGCTCCTACCATGCACCCACTGTGTTGCAGGTGCTCTTTAGGCTTTGTCTGTGGTGTCTCTACAAACTGCCTCAATAGATTGAGAGGTTGGGTTTTGGTTTGGTTTTCTTTTTTTTTTTTTTTCCTCTTCACTCCTCTGCTCTGGCGTCCATCCTGGCCGTTCCGCCAGTGGAGCACCGGGAGCTGAATCAGAGGTCAGCTTTTTTTTTTTTTTTCCAAAAGTCGCTCACCCTGCTTTGCACAGCTACAAACGCCAGCCTGCTTGGCAGCAGGTATAAAAGCCTGTCTGCTCGGCAGCAGCTACAGCTGCCTGCCTGCTTCAGCAGCAACCATAAATACCTGCCGGTAACCTCACTTTTGCATTAACCCTTTCTTGCCCGAAATGTTAAACTGCTACCCGTTAAAAACTTTTACATGAACCCAACAACAAAAAATACACAGAACACCGTCTGCCCTCAACACACATACACACACGTATGGGATCCCAGAAGCACACGCCACAGAACTACAATATTTGAAGCACAAAATCCAGGCAATCATTACTCCCACTACAGTCCCACGTACAGAACGTGGCACAAGGACCCTGTGGAGACTAACAGCAAACCAGCTCCGAGAAGCATCATTGCAGTGCGAGGTGGCAGGCTCATCCTTAGCGGGCATCCCTGCAGAGGCTCTGCCTCCCCCACATCATATGAGGCTTGGGCTTTTATACTGACCAAAATGCACACTCATTCCGACACAGGTGGCCAGCCTATGTTGGAAGAAGTGGCCAGCAATATTTTTAAAGGTCTCCAAAGGTCGATAGAAACGTGGACATACTTATATTTACCAACTTCTAGTACATGAGTATCACAGAGAGACTGTATCAAATGAGTTGTATAAGGGATCCCAAGTCCACGGTCCGTCACAATCCCAATACCCCTGATAACAGCATAAAAGAGACCTTCCCACCACCAGAAAATCACACAATACTTCTGTATCCCGCGCTGGTCTTGCTTCCCTGGAGGTTCAGGGGGGGTGTGGTGGTTTTTCTTGTTTTTTTTTTTTTGGAGGGGGGTTTGGTGTTTGTTTGTTTTGGGGTTTTTTAATGTAAAAAAGGTTGCTCCCTTCACTTTAAGAAGGACTGAAAACATCCATAAAATGGATGTCCTGAGCTCAAATTTCAATTAATTCAATCACTGATAAGGGGGGTGTCCTGGGGTGATGCTGACTCTTTCCAGGGTTTCACCCATCGAGGTGGCACCCACCACAAACCGGAATCTGTAATTTACACACATATAACCTTGACCAGTTAGTTTTACTTCCACAGGACCTTTCCAAATGCCGGTTTCCAAATTCTTGTGCTGGACCAGAATACCTGGAGTTTTAGTCATATAATCTGAACCTAATGCCTGACCATGTATTATAGCAGGGGAGTCAAAGTCTCCTGTCAATCGCAAAAAAAAAATCATAACATATACAGCTTGAGTATAAGAGGATTTTAACCCGTATGTGGTCACTGCTTGTCAGGCCTCCTTAACTATTCTGAGATCAAAAGCTTCCAACTCTTTACCTCCCTGCTGTGTAGTAAACACAGGATATGCAGAGAGGCCCATTGCAAAAATTTCACCTGTAATAATTGCATCTTTGATTAACCCGTGCAAACAGTGCACAGGATTTGTGCCTCCCCCATACCTCTCCCACCCCCTCCCCTGGTTGCCTTCTTTAAGGAAGGGGTTTTGCAGAGGATAAGGTGGAGGTGCCGATGGAGATGTCTCAATCCCAGTCTCCAGGGCTTCAAGCTTTTTCATCAGTTGTTGCAGCTGAGCATCTCCAAGGCCAGTGAGTAGTTGCTGATGAGCTGAGCAGACTGACCCGGGAGACAAAGAGTCAGAGTCTGGAAGCAGAGGATATAAATCTGGCTCGGATTCAGGGGACTCAGAGTCTGATCCTGGGTTGAACTCAAGGTCTCCGTTGTTCGCATCTATGTCTTTCTTGTCAGGTGTCTCTCGTTCGGTATGTGGCCATCTGCGGACCTGGCTCTTGCTTTCATTGGCTCGGGGCGTTGATTTTTTTCGGCGCCGTTCCAGGTACCACAGGAGGTGCAAAAGTCATAGCCGCAGCTCTGTGATGGGGGTTAGGAGAGACATCCCCTTCTGGAGCTGTGGCGGCAAATACAGACGTAGTACACCACACTTTCCAATTTCATCTCTTTCAAAGTCTCAAACACCAATTTCCAAAGTGTAGAGTGTTTCTGTGTATCTTTGGTCCCTTTACTAACCTCGCGATCATGGGACCACTTTAACAGCCTCTGTAAGGCGGCACTATCGTATTGCAGTCCTCTCTTAGAGAGAATGTGTTGGAGGAGCTTCACCACCGCCTGTTCCTCTTTGGATAGCAAGTGCCACATCTCCTCCCCAGCCACTCACCTGATCAGGGCGAGATTGCCGAAGTTTTGCAGACGTCTGACTTCCCAGCGCCGGGGCAGCGCTGACTTTCGGCCAACTCTCCGCTCCCTCCTTTTCATCAGACCTTCAAACTCGTCTTTGTCGAGTTACCGATCGGAGGGTCCCTGTTCGGGTGCCACTTGTTGATGCAGGAGTCACGGACAACGCGAAGACAATCAGTGTGATCAAGCGATTGCCAAATTTATTACAAAGCCTTAACTCCTTATATACTGTTTCTTACATGCACTTACAGTGATTTGGCATATTATGATTGGATACATGTCTTGAAGACCCTTAGTGACTAACATATAATTGGTTAAGCACAGGTGTGACAACTTGACCTCGAAAGCTTGCCAATAGTCCACAGTTCTCATTAACTCAGTGAATTCCAGCTTCTTCTTATCTTTCTTGCTTAAGCTTCTTTGGGCCTCTCATGGCCTTGCTGTATCTTTCAGGATTATTCAGAGTTTATGTACCAATTATGCATTCTCCTGTGAGAACACTCTCTCCACAGGTAATCAGCCTGCTGATAGCTTTAGTATTTCCTAGCTACCTGCTGTCCCAAAAGAGCATGGGGGTCTTTGGTTTTTGTTGAAGGCCTGGAAATGGTTTAAAATATGTAAATGTTCCAATTCCTCTGTTTTTGTCTGTAGATCCTGGGCTGGAATCTGCAGAATAGCTGACTAATAATTCTATCAATTTTATAATACTGAAAGTTGTGTCCTATACTTGAAGATGTTTCCATGCTCTAAAAAGGTTTCAGTGCCCCTTTTTACACAGACTGCAGCATGGTCTGTGTAAATATTCAGCTCAGGTGAGGTGTTTACTGTGATTTCTTTACAGAATGCCTATTATTGACATTAGATAGAAATTGTTTCTGAATTGAAGCCATCTATTTCAAAACAGTTGGTAAGCTTTTCTTTTGTCAAAGTTTGTTTGAAATTTTGCAGAACAGCCTGGTTATTGATACCCCAAGAATTAGGAAACAAACACGGCCCTTCAGTGCTACAAAGGATGAGCTGGCTGAGTTGTCGGAGGTGGAGAGCGACGGTGATGAAAAACCGAAACTCCGTAGGCCTTGTGACCGTTCCAATGGTTACGGTAGAACAGAGTGCTTTCGAGTGGAAAAAAACTTGCTGGTCTACGGGTATTGTATACATCCTTCTTCATTCTAGGAAGTTTTTAAAAAATACTGTTTTAAATGTACTAAATTGTATTTATGGACTAACTTTTAGCTATAGTGGCAATAACCTGGTGTGTGTATATATAGCATTTATTTAGAATATGAATTTATGTGAATTTATCATGCATCCTGTATAAATCTTTATGACAGTTTGCAATAAAAGAAACATGAAAGAAGGGAGGTGAAAACTTCTTCAAAGGAGATTGACATTTAAAATGTCACTAGAGTAGTCTCTCTAAAAATCATTACAGTAAGTTATGCAGGCAGGGTCAGAACTGTGAACAAATATCTGAAATAAAGGCTTGGTAGGTGACTTGATATTCATAATTGCAGAACATCTTCCATGAGGTGCAATTAGGAACTGAAAATCTAACCAGCTAGTATGCTTAAATTGAACATGTTGATTTGGAAGTGAAATCTTAGGTTTTCTCTCACCTACCTTGCGTTTGCTTATCAGTGTGAGTTCCCATCAGTTTGCAGTCTTAGAAGCCTAAAACAATCATCCATGTTTTTGTAAGCCAACAAGTTTTGTTTAAACTAGTGGGTTTTTTTTAAACTGGTTAAAACCCAGTATCTGAAGGGGGACTACAAGGATGCTGGAGATGGACTCTTTATTTAGGAACTGTACTGATAGGACAAGGGGTAATGGGTTCAAACTTCAACAGAGGAAGTTTAGGTTAGATATAAGGAATAAGTTCTTTACTTTGAGTGCGGTGAGACACTGGAATGGGTTGCCCAAGGAAGTTGTGAATGCTCCATCCCTGGCAGTGTTCAAGGCCAGGTTGGGCAGAGCCTTGGGTGTCATGGTTTAGTGTTAGGTGTCCCTGCCCATGGAAGGGGGTTGGAATTAGATGATCTTAAGGTCCTTTCCAACTCTAACTCTTCTATGATTCTATGAAATAGATGGAGTTATGTTGCAAATGTTAACTTCATATTTCCACTCAGTAGCTTAAGGTGAACGAAAAATGTGGAAAGCTAAATGTTTTACAGAGAAATTCCCTTTTGTAATGGAAATTACAGGATACCCAAGCATTCTAGTTCAAAGTGCTGATCTGTGTTTCACTTTGGACTAGGTGGGGTCGATGGAGAGAAATTTTGTCACATGGCCGCTTCAAGAGACAGCTGAATGAACAGGATGTGGAGATAATCTGCCGAGCTCTATTAGCCTATTGTCTCATTCACTACAGAGGGGATGAGAAAATAAAAAGTTTTATATGGGATCTCATTACCCCAACAGAGGATGGGCAAACAAGAGAGTTACAGAATCACCTTGGTAAGGCCTTCTGTGTTTCTGCAGTTAAATACCTTCATATAGTATGCCTGTGGTACTGGGATGAAAACAGCTAAAAATTATCCCTGCATCCTACTTGAATTAAATGAAATTTATTCCAGATATGCAATTCAACTGATGGGAAAATTTTCATTTCTGTTTTGCTTTCTATTTGATGGCTTGCCCAAATGGATTGGTGTGCTCTGTGTAAGCTTTATTTCCATTTCAGTTCATAAGGACCTATTGTGTTTCAGAGTAGGTGAGAGCATGCTCATTTTCCCCTCTCCTGCTTTGTCCTTAGCTGGTGAAATGTACTTCAGAAATGCTCTAAGAGATGAAAGAAAAAAAGCCCCTCATATCTAGAGGCTGTGATGCTAGTATTTTTTCTGCACTGCAGGTCCCAATATTGATACAGGAACTATAAGTATCATGGGATCTATGCCTACGTGTTGCTGTTACTGTATAGTATTTTAAATTATATAGGCTTATCAGCCCCTGTGCCTAGAGGAAGAAAAGGAAAAAAAGTGAAGGCCCAGGCTACCACTTTTGATATACACAAAGCAGAATGGCTTCGAAAATACAATCCAGAACATCTATTGCAAGATGAAGGATACAAAAAGCACATAAAACACCATTGCAACAAGTAAGCAGTAGCTGAAGTGTGAATGTCTTTCAATGTCTGTGTAAAGATTCTTTTTTTTATTCTAATTGCTTATTGTCTTGAAAATACTTGTAGCACTATGAAGAAACAAGTTTAATGGTGTTATCCTGATTAGAATAGTTAGGTTTGCAGTATATTAGGAGGCGAATCAAGTATTTCACATTTAAAATAGTTATTTTTAAAGAAACTGTCTGTACAGAGAGAGATCTTGCTAGGATGTTTGGGGAGTCTTGTAGCAGCCAAAGGACTAAAAAGTTTGGGACCGCTTAGCAAAGAAACATAAAGTGCTATCAGTAAAAAAAAGTCATTACCCCTCAATCTTACATGCTGCTTACCTGGCCTGTTTTCTAGGCTTTTGGGAATCTGACCTACTAGCTTGTTTGGAAGCTCATTCATACCTATGAGCTTGTTTTAGATAAATCATTTTGTGTAGCAAAACTTCCCCCATTCTGCTTGAAAACTTCATACTGCTGTAGTAAAGATTTGAGAGAGAGCATGTGGAAGCCATTGGGGTCATGCATCAAATTCTCAGAAGGAATGAAAAGGTGATGTGAAAGATGTCAGCCCATTCACTTCTTTCGAAGGGAATCTTTTAAGTAGGAAAAGGGAAATAGTTTGTTCTTAGCAGCATTTTTATGAAGCAAGTGAGGAGTGTTCTGCTGGCCCAGGTCTTTGTCTAGGACTTGAAAGAATTTTTGCAATGAAACTGTTTGTAAAAGTGATCACAATAAAAGGTGTTAGAGGACCTGGTTATCTCCTCTTACAACTGGAGAAAGTATATTTTAGGAAGGTGACTTTGAAAGCTTTGTGATTTTACAAAACACAAAACAAAACCACCCACAACTATTGAAAGCTTTTAGAGTGCTAATATTTGTATTTCTTTTTTTCTTTGTTTAGGGTTTTACTTCGAGTAAGAATGCTGTATTACTTAAAACAAGAAGTCATTGGTAATGAATTCCAAAAGGTGTTTAATGGAATTGATGCCAGGTGAACTATACAGAGGTTTTTTGCTTATTTATTTAAATGTAAACTATCAAAGGAAAACTCAGGAATCTTCCTGGACCTAAATAGGAAGTGTTAAACCCAAATATTTGTAGCCTTAGGCAGTGAGAAAAATGCTTTTGTTTACTTTGTATTGACATGAGGAAGTCCTGATTCCTATTTATGAGAGTCTAGTTATATAAACTAAAATTATTTAAGTCAAATAGACTGAAAAACTGAAAGAGAGAATTTTGTACTTTACATTCTAATTAGCAGGGGTTTCCTGCCTGCGTGCACACTTTTGGTTATATGCTGCATATTCTGTTAATTTTTTTTTTATTATTTTTTTTTTAATGGAAGTATTGCCATTTGGAAATTCTTGACCTCACTGCTACAGGAGCTTGTGGAGGATAGAAGGTTTTAATTTGATTCAGAAAGGTGTTACAAACATTCATGGAAAAATGGTCCATCTTGTGCTGTTAAACACAAAAGCAGATAATCTTTGGTTTGCAAAGTTTTGCAAGCACAAACTACAGGAGTTGCTGGAGTTTACTGAGAGGGGAAGAATATTGTATACTGGTTCTGCTTTCATATTCTTTCTGTTACTGGTCTCTGTCAAATACAAAATATCAAGCTGTCTGGATGCTTTGTGGTGCTATTTTTAGGGTCTTACTGTGTATGTGTGCTTAGAGAAGTTTAAAAATCCCACATGAAATAGAAATGTACAAAGAGGAAAATAAAGTTTTATTTCTTCCTCTTAATATTATTGGTGATATGCTGTTGGTGATTCTCCTTAGTGAAATTGATGTTTGGGTCCCTGAGCCAGATCAGTCTGAAGTTCCTACTGAGTGGTGGGATGCAGATGCAGATAAATCCCTTCTAATTGGAGTTTTTAAACATGGTGAGTAATGTGGATGATTACATATGTACTTGCCCACCCCTCAATCTAAACACTCTACACTCATTTTTTTTTTTATAGCTTACTCTGAAAGTTGAATTTTTGCCACTTTTTCTTTTTTCTTTTATAGGTTATGAAAAATACAACACTATCAGAGCAGACCCAGCGCTGTGCTTCTTGGAAAGGGTTGGCAAGCCAGATGAAAAAGCAGTTGCTGCTGAACAGAGAGCAAATGATTATATTGATGGGTATGAGCACTTCAATTGGGCATGAATATTTCAGGGCCTTAAAGTTAACAAGACTGAATTTGTGTGTTGAACATTATTCTCTTCTTAACTACTTTTATACAAGTTTGATGCTATTGTTATGAGGAATTCTAGTTTGATTTTTGCTCCCACAGAAGAGAGTTAGGAACAGTGTAACAGAACCATTGAAGTCTGGGATTTCATACTTAAATACAGCAACTAGTTGTTAACAAGGACTCTACCTTGTGTTGCTGTATCAGAAGTATTACTTAGACACTGAAATACAAAAGCCTTCAAAGGCACAGAGTACTACAAACCTATTTAACTTGATTTTTAGGTCAGTCAGCTTGGTGTATTAGTCTTGTGTAGCTAGCCAGTGACCCCAGTAGATCAATCTGAGTATTGCTGATAATTGCTGAAGGGGAGAACTGCTTTTCTTCATTGCTTCATCAGTGAGGTTAGTAGTTGTGGTCATAAAGAACATCTTTGAATGAAATTGTGAAGGGGGGGGGGGGGGGGCAGCCTCCAGGCAAGATTCAAGCCACAGCTGCCATGAAATACTTTCCTTGTTTCAAATAGAAAATGAAATACAGTCCATCTAACTAAATTTAAATAAGTCTTGTTTAATTGAAGAGAGTTTGAGGACTTATAAAATATTACTAAGATGGGTTCCTTTGTGTTAAAATTCTAACAGGGATGTAGAAGATCCAGAATATAAACCAGCACCAGCAATGTTTAAAGATGACATAGAGGTATAGTAGGCACCTATTAATAGCTCCTTTTAACACTCTGAATATAATACTTCTACCTTTTAATTGAGAAAATTATTAGCTTTTCTATATTTATCTAAATTTGTAAAACTTATTCCATGTGTTTCCACAGTTTTGTGGGCAGGTTACATGGGAGGGAATTGCTGTATAATTATTTTATTTGCATTGTTAGCCATTTGTCCAAAATATCTCTTACTGTTGTTCTTTGACATATTCATAAATTGACTATAAGATGTAAGTTTAACCTATATCTCTGCAGAGGGCTACGTTTTAAGTTTTGCTTCACTTCTGTTTTCCTACAGGATGATGTTTCATCCCCAGGTGATTTAGTAATAGCAGATGGAGGTAAATACATAAAACTTCAAATCTGAGCTAATTCAATCTATTTTGAATTGTTTAATTCTCCTGACTTTAAGCTAAACTGTGTTTAGATAGCATAGGACCATAGGCACTAGCAACAATTATTTTTTCCTGTGTCTTTGTTTTAATATAGATGGACAAATGATGGAAGGAGACAAAATCTGTTGGCCCACTCAGTCTGCCTTAACAACACGTCTTCGCCGCCTGATAACAGCTTATCAGCGAACAAGTAAAAATAGGCAGGCCCAGCAGATCCAGCCAGCATTCCCAGTACAACATAGTATGATGCAGCCTCCATATGATGAAGTTGGTCTAAACCCAAAGATGGCTGCTAAGATTGAAAAGCAGCAAAGGTATGTGCAGCATGCAAATACACATTTTTAATACATCCTTTTATTAAAAATAGCAAATTACTATTTCACACAGCTAGCAACTGTTAAGAAAATGACAGAACTTTCAAATTTTACTTTTTTTTTCTTGATGATCAAGATGGACTAGAAGAGAAGAAGCTGACTTCTACAGAGTTGTCTCCACATTTGGTGTCGTATTTGATCCAGAAAGGGGGCAATTTGATTGGACCAAATTTAGAGCAATGGCTAGACTACATAAGAAAACGGATGTGAGCTTAGAGAAATACTTGTCTGCATTTATGTCAATGTGCCGGAGAGTCTGTCGTCTCCCCTCAAAAGAAGGTAGATGTATATATTTTTACTTTTAGTTTTATCTTTAGTTTCTGTTGCTAGGGCTTATCTTCAGAAGGTTTTTCTTTCACGTGTTCCAATATTAAAAAGGGGGAGGAGGAAATAAGGAAGTGTGTTAAGTGTAAAATGGAAATCTTATAATGGGGAGATGTGTATTAACCAATTAAAGCCAACTCCTTGTAGAACTCATTTGTGGTGGTTATTTCTGCCAGATTCTCATATTTGTTTTATTTTAATACAGAACTCGTAGACCCAAAAATCTTTATCCAACCAATCACAGAAGAGCGTGCTTCTCGGACTTTGTATCGCATTGAACTCCTAAGGAAAGTGCGGGAACAGGCCCTTAGACACCCACAGTTGTTTGAACGACTAAAACTGTGCCAGCCAAACCCAGACTTACCTGTCTGGTGGGAATGTGGAACTCATGACAGGGATTTACTTATTGGAGCTGCTAAGCATGGAGTTAGCAGGACAGATTATCATATTCTCTGTGATCCTGAACTTTCATTTATGTCTGCCCAGAGGAACTATAATCAAAATAAAGTGGCACTCTCAAAGACTTCTACTCCACTCTTGCATCAGTACCAGATGGCATTATCTGCTTCTCCTCTTACACCTCAGTCAAGATTGTCAGATGCTAAAGCGAATGCTTTTGAGGACACAAAAGCTAAACATGAAAATCTGAAAGAAGACCCTCAGTCTTCTGAAGACGAATCTATGTCTACAGAGGAGACACAGACAATAATGAAATCTGAACCTTTGAGTCCAGAAAACGGCATGCCAATACAAAATACAGATCACAAACCTAGTGTGAAGACTGAAACAGACAGGCGCATGGTGGCAGCAAGAACAGAGCCTCTAACTCCAAACCCAGCTTCCAAAACACAGAGAGTCAGCAAAAGGGGATCTGACTCTAGCTCTGATTCAGACTCTGACTCAGATAAATCATCCCGTTCTTCTAGGTCATCATCTTCATCCTCTTCATCTTCCTCATCTTGTTCACACTCTCAATCAGGCTCTAGCTCTTCATCATCATCATCTTGTTCCTCATCATCTTGTTCCTCATCATCTTGTTCCTCATCATCATCATCTTCATCATCGTCATCTGAAGAGAGTGATAGTGATGAAGAGGAGACACAGAAACGTGGTATGTGTGTAGTCTGCAGTATAACTCTTAAACTGAACAAGTTTATTCTTACTAGAAAAATGTCTAAAAAAGGATATTAAATCCCACAAAAATAAACTTAAATAAACATTTTTGCTTGATTTTTCAAGTGAATTGGAAGAATTTAAGGGATACAGCTTTTTTTTTTGCTTCGTATCAGTGCCTTGGATGAAGTATTTAGGATTTGTTGGTTGATGCCCTAAGCAAGCTTACCATGCATGTGGCTCACATGTGGGAGGAGAGTTGAGCAGCTTATGTTTTCTGGAAATGTATATTCTGTGTGTATTCCCTACTACCATTTCTTTTTCTTCTTCAATATAGAGATTCTTTTGGTTTTCCCTCTTTGTTTTTTCTACTCTTGCTCACTTGTTTTTGTAGCTTGCTCATTGTGCTTTCATGTAATCTGTAAACTTCCTTCTGGCCAAGCTATGGAGTAATGTGAGCTGCTTTCTCTTCTAAACTGGAAGTGGCAAGCAGTGTACTTCCACTGAATGTTTTCAAACGCTTAAAAATACGTACCTGGTTAGAAAAGACTGAGGTGACCATAGAGCATAGGACCAGATAATAGTGTGAAAGTTTTAAAGTAGAAGCAGAAACCTCTGTTCAGTGAAGTGATTTAAAATTTTTAATAAAGCAACCAATCATTTAATACATTCCTTATTTTAATACTATGAAGTGTTTTCTTGCCCCCTTGAAACTCAGAATGTGGAAAGATCTCTCTACTGTGATAACAAATAGTAATGCAAAAAGGAAGAGGATAAAGTTAAGCAGTTAAGTTACAACATAAATGAATAACTTCCCCCCCTCCCCCAGTATCTTAGGGAAAAGGCACTGTGTTAATCAGATGCATTCTCTTGTCTGTGGAAATGACAAATGGAAACTATAGGGTTAGTTTACTGAGAAAATGATTACTGGGCAAGTAAAATGCCACTGAAACAAAATGATTAAGATGCCGCTGCCTGTAGCAGTGGAACAATGTTTTCAGAAGAAACAGTTGTATGCAAACATTAAAACAGTGAGAGAAAAGGGATGCTTATACAACATAAATGTTTAGATCTCGGTGGTGGATACTCTAACATATGCTATAAGTCCAAATATTAGGTTTGTTTTCTGCCAGGTCAGTCTGTTCAGGCAAGTAATTGCGTCATCCTCAGATTGCAGAGTCTCATAAATCAGTTAGCCTTTCTTGTGGCTATTTTCCTGTAAATTGGTGTTGAAGTTTGATAAATGCTGAAAAATTCTCTTAACTTCATCTGCATTTTAATTTTAAGCCCAGGTTTTATTTCAGATCTGGTACAGTGACCATGGATACTTGGCATACTTCTCACACTTGAAATATCTTTTAAGGGATGAGTCTTTCAGGTGACTCAATGCATAGCTACTGTCCTCAATAGTCATACTCGTGACAATGTAGTATTTACCTTTTCAGGCAGCACCTGATTGTTTTCCTATGTCATAGTGAAACTTGCATTGTTATCTGGGTAGAGGCAAAAGTAAAATAATGATAAGTATAACCAAGTCAGAGGACACACTGGAAAGATACTAAGAAGAAATCCTCTGTCATTAAAACTTAAAAAATTCCATGATACAGGCACATGTGTCCAAGATGTGGAACATCCAGCATTCCGTCCAGAAAATGAAAAGGGCTGTTTTTTTTAAAGTGGTATCCCAGTTGATTTGCCATTTTCTGGTGATAGATATCTTTCCTTTCAGTTTAGTTCTGCATTTTAGTGTATGTTAGCTTACAAAGGAAGTATGTTAAAATAAGTAAGAACTGTCTATCAAGTTACTCTGTTTTCAAATAGCTATATGTTCAACATGTTTAGCTCTTGAAATATTGCCAGGAGTATGTGTGGAATTTCCATGCCTAGGAAAGGCTCAGCAATTATCCTGAAAAACCTAACAGATCAGTTATTCAGTTTAACTTGTGTTTGGACTTTCTCTGAACATTGTGTTTTGTTCACCTGAACCTCTTACAGTGAGTGTTAACTTCCTTATGACATCAAATGATGATAATGTTTTTATTTAGCAGAAGGAGCCGGTCATATAAAAGCATATGATGAAGAGAGTGTAGCCTCTCTGAGTACAACACAAGATGAGACGCAAGACAGTTTCCAGATGAACAATGGGACACCAAATTCCAGTTATCTCCTACAAGGTGGATACATGATGGCTGCATCCTACTGGCCAAAGGCAAGTTTATTATACTACTTTGAAAACCAAAGTTGGAGGGGCAGGTGGGCTGTGACGTTAGTATTCCATTAAATATGTTAAAACCATACCACTGAGGTGTAGGGAGATCTTGGAAAAAAAAACAGAATTTTCCTCATGGTAAATTAAAGTAAAATTATGACAAAGCATTTTGTACATTGGTTGTACAGCTGCATGTGTAAAAGGGAGAACGTGCACATAGGAAACAAAAATGTAAAGGAAGGATGTTTAAGGTGAGGTAATTTAAGATCAGATATTTGGATGATCTTAAGTCTGTGAGAGGAATTGTTTAGAGTAATCAAGAAAAAAGTAAGAAAATAAACAGCAAGAAATCAGTTAAGCTAAATATTTAAAAAACTTTTTGAATAGTAGTAGGACTCCTTCAGCTACATGGCAAGATCCTAAGTCACATTAAAGAATAGGCTGGCTGAAGCACTGGTGTAATACTGCTTCTATGTTAAAATTTAACTATATGATTCCATATGGGAATTCGTGAAATCAGTGAAATTTTAAAGTATACTTTGAAAAGGTGATAACAGTAAGTGATGAGAACGATGGCATACTTGTTTACAGGTGGTGAAATTTAACTACAGAGGTGACTTTCACAAACTTTTACAGGCAATTGGTACAAATCCAGGAATTTAGAAAATAAAATCTTTTAAGTCAGTCCAGTGATTAAAAATGTTGTTGTTTCCCTTCCTTTTAGAATTAGAAGATAATAAATGTAATGTGTACAGTGTTGTTAAGCATTATTTATGAAAATATTTTCTCTGGTTTTTAGGATCGAGTTATGATTAATCGGCTTGACAGTATTTGTCAAACACTTTTGAAAGGTAAATGGCCTTCATCAAGAAGAAGCTATGACAGCAATACAGTGGCCTCTTTCTACACAACCAAGCTTCTGAATAGCCCAGGTGCATCTGCATGTTACAGTGATCCCAGTGTACCACCACCCCCTTTTGCAGGTGTTAAAGAAGAATACGATCAGTCACCACAGATGTCAAAGGTGAAGAAGCATGTACGAGAAAAGGAGTTTACAGTGAAAATCAATGACGTATGTTTATTTTTATTGCTCTAGGACCTGATTGCGATTGTGGTGTGCGGCATGCTTTACTTGCAAGTGGCTGCCTGCTCTCACTCTCACTTCTTTCACACACTTGTTTGTGGGTATTTGGGTCTGCTGCTTCTGGGCATTGAGGATTTGGGTTTTGGGTTTGCTTTGGGGTTTTTTGGCAGGTAGTGGTGGTTTTTTGGTTTGGGGGTTTTGGTGAGATTTTTATTGGGGTTTTTTGTTTGTTTGTTTGTTGGGATTTTTTTTTCCTTTTTTATTTACATAAGCCACTGGAAGGAATTGTTGCTATTTCTCTCTCTCTGAATTGAGGTTTTGCCATTCTGATTCTTCTCCAGACAGCCTATTTTATGCTGTTTCTAAGAAGTCTGGTTAGTAATAAAAGTTATTTCTTCCGTTTGGCTTTTTTAAAGACATTTCAGCATGTCCTATCCAGCAAGCCTGGCCTTTTAGAAGGTTATATGTAAATTTCCCACTTTACATGCAGTCTAGAAGCTTCAAACATTTTCCTTACCTGTAGTTTGAGACCTGTTCATAGGACATAAAAAAAATGTATGAAAATTTCCTCTTGTAATTGAGTTTGGCATTTCTTTAAGACTGGATTATTGAGGTAGACAGCTGTTCAGTGTCTAGATTTTTCAGTTACAATAGTAGGTAATTTAAAATTTATATTCATAGAAGCAATTCCATGGAATTTCTGTTCAGATTTGTTTTTTACATTGAGGAGAAGCCAGGCTTGTTTTAAGATCTAATACAATGTTTTCATTCTTCCTCAATTCTTCTGGAGTAACTGTTGTTATGTGAGAATACTGATTATGAAGTAGCCATTTCTGCTTCAGAATAGACTCTTCTAACCCTGGCATTTATTTAACAGGAAGGTGGTTTGAAATTGACCTTTCAGAAGCAGGGACTGTCTCAGAAAAGGCCATTTGAAAGCGAGGAAGGTGTACTGGGACAACAGCACTACCTGGCTGAACTCCAGAATGCCTCAGAAACCAGCCTTGTTAACTTCCCCAAATCACTTCCCAAATCAGGTTTGTAAAATGTCAGAGGGCATAAAAGTTAGTTTTTGAATCTTATCTTCTGGGTTCTTCAAGTGATCTCCATGTACAGGCAGTGGATGAGAGGTGTGTGCAGTGTTATTTGCTCTAAACTGTAGTCTGAAGGAATCCTCTCCAGTGTGTTAGGAAAACTGGGCACCTGAGTTGAGGCACAAGGTTGGACAACATGAGTACTCTCTCACAGTGTCAGTTACAGCAATGTTCTTTTGTTAGAATGATGCCTTTTCTGTATTATAATCGCCCCCACAAGAAGATTTGAATAATGAAGTTGTGCATCACTGTACCCTGACAGTAATTGATTTAACTCTGAACTCACTGCGGCTTATTTGTAAATAAAGATGAAGAGTTAGAGATTTATGCCCATGTCAGTTTGCACTCTTCATATTCTTTCCTGTGTCTCACACAAAAAAACAGTGGAGGATGATAGTCTAGAACCAGTTTTTAGCTTATAGCCAACACTTATATCTCATTTTCATTAGAAATATTAGTAGGTATACACTGATAAATGAAAATGAACCTAAAGTAAGAAGCTAAAATTTGGATTAAAATACTCAAAATTGCTAGAGTTGGGTACTTGATTTAGGCTGGCTTCTAATTAAAAGACTTCAGTTCATTGAGGTTGCATACATGCAAGGATGAGAACATTTCCTTTAAACAAAAATACTACCCTTCACTTGAATTTTTTACTTTCTTGTTCTTTCGCAATATACCATTAAGGTCTTGTTATAAACATGTATCTAGTTATGTCTGCCTCTGTGCATGTGTGATGTCAGCAGGTTTTAACAGCTCTCCTCCCTATACAGATTTGTTTGGAAGGGGTAGGGGAACAGTAATAGGAAACTAATGTGGTAGAGTGGCTTTTCAGAGCCTGATACTAACAGTGTTTTAAACAGCCATAAACAATAGGCAATTTCTGTTAGATGTTACAAGTAGAAATTATATACACTTGAACTATTTCAAATAATTTTATTTCCTTTTTTTATTCAGCCATTTTTTTTTATAAATAGCTCAAGCATCTAACACTGACTTTATTGCATCATTAATTAGGTACTTGCAGTCACTTAACAGCCAGTGCCAATGGAGTCATAGCTGACAGTCAGCCTGCAGTCAAAAAGAGAAGAGGAAGAAGGAAGAATGTGGAGGGAGTTGATGTTGCTTTTATAAACAGAAATAAACAGCCTAATCATGTAAGTAAACTTGATTTGGTATTCAAGAATAAGGTCCAAATTACTGTTAATCCCTTAACTGAATATAACCAGCTGTCAACATACAACAAAAATGTTATTATTCAAAAACTGCAGGCTTCGTTTTTTTTTCTGAAATTCTTCACTGATGGCTCATGACTACACAAATGAGAACTTGTAGTTTTAGTAAATGTTACATATATGCAGTACTGGTAACTTTTTAAAAAGTAAGTTTAATTCCAGTTTTGATGAACTGTAATTAACGTGTTATTAAGAACTTGATATTTGACCTAGCAACACCTTCTAACATCCTTTCTTGTAACATCTGTCACAGGACCTGGTTGTATAGACTTAAAGGGCGCTATCTATGGTATGAGTAGTCTCACTTAGTCCTTGAGTGTGTGCATAATGATCTGCAGGACTGTGGCCTTCATTGTATCATACATGATATAGTTGTGATGGTTTGTTTTCTATGGAGAACTTAATCAAATATCTTGAATTTCTCCAGGTTAATCCAGGTATTAACTCCAGTCAAGTTGCTGCAGGAATAAACCCAGCACTCACTCACACACAGTTCCAAGGCATGCTTGATGCAGAGAGTCCAGTTCCTGTTATTAACCTAAAAGATGGAACAAGGCTTGCAGGTGATGATGCCCCCAAAAGGAAAGATTTGGAAAGGTGGCTTAAAGAAAATCCTGGCTATGTTGAAGATTCAGGAGCTTGTATTTCTGTGAGTATTCCTTTCAGCTCTGCTTCAGCTAAATAGTAAAACATTTCTTGCAAACTGTATTTGGATTTGTATTCTATGTTACACGGAATTATTCCTTCTTTGTTATTCTATTTTGTTTAAGAAAAGGAAAATGTCCGGGGTTTGGGTTTTTTTTTTTTACATAGTTTAACCTCTGCAAGCCTTCCTTCTCTTTCACAAATTCAACTGCCAAGGAAAGCAATACTAAACAAAGACATTTGATCTTGGTCTAATTGCACCTAAGATTAAAAAAATAACGTAGATAAGAAAACTCATGTTACCATGATACTGATGATGGGAGCTGAAAATGTGTAACCACATATTAGTGATGTGCAAGAGGACTCAAGAATTTACCGTGGGATGTAACCCATACCTGTATTACAGTGCTATGGTAGTGATGTTTGTGTGGGTATCATCATGTTCACATCATGTTACTTCTGAATTTGAGATTTGGTAATGTTGAACAGAATGTAGGAAAACAATATATACAACATCTGGAATAATAACCTCATTTCTCCATAAAGATGTTACAATACAAAACAGTAGCAACATTCCTGACAAAGCACTGTTGAAAACTAAAATTTATTAAAACAGAGCAACGGATAGAGGCATCAGAGAGAGGGTTTAGTGCTGTTTACTGGGCTGCATATTCCATGACTGTGATTAGTAAATTACTATGGCTATTAAAAAAGTTTTGAAATCGATGGTGACTTCAAATGAATGCCTGACTCAAGAATGCATGGGTATCTTAGCATTTTTAAAACAGTTATACCAGAAAGATATTGGGCTTTTTGATTACTTTATAACAGAGGATGCAGCTGCATGATGGGAGGCCCAAACAAAAAAGACACCGTTGTCGCAACCCTAATAAGCTGGATATTAACAGTTTGACTGGTGAAGAACGTGTTCAGCTCATAAATAGAAGAAACGCAAGAAAGGTATTTATCATACTGTTCCCATTCTAATGTTCCCAAAGGAAAAGTTATCTGAAATGAAGAACTCTGTATACTACCCTTGCTAAACAATTGTGTACAGATTAAAGGGTTTTGTTGAAAAGCTTTCTCACAGAGCAAGAAAGTCAATGACAATCTTCTAGTAAATGTTTTGCAACTATGAAAATATGTTAAGATCCAGTTAGAAATTTACTTTGTTGTTTATGTTCAGATTGAACTGAACACTTGATCTATTGCAAAATTGTCATTGACTAATGCAGAGGCATGACCACTAAATTGCACACTATTCTGATCAAAGCAGCAACGTTCTCGTAAGTTCTAAATTTTTTGTACATCTTTCATTACTACTTCTGCACGTGATTACAATTACATTGGTAGTGCATCCTACATAGAAAATTATCCATTGGAATTGCTTAAATCCTGGCATCGAAGAGGTTCCTCGATTGTGTGGAAGACAACTTTTTCTTGCAAGTAATAGAGGAGATGACAAGGAGAGGTGCCATGCTTAGAATCATACAATAGTTAGGGTTGGAAAGGACCTTATGATCATCTAGCTCCAACCCCCCTGCCATGGGCAGGGACATCTCACACTAAACCATGTCACACAAGGCTCTGTCCAACCTGGCTTTGAGCACCACCAGGGATGGAGCATTCACTTCCCTGGGCAATCCATTCCAGTGCCTCACCACCCTCACAGTAAAGAACTTCTTCATTTTATCTAATCTAAACTTCCTATCTTTAAGTTTTAACCCATTACACCTTGTCCTATCACTACAGTTTCTAATGAAGAGTCCCTCCCCAGCATCCCTGTAGGCCCCCTTCAGATACTGGAAGGCTGTTATGAGGTCTCCACACAGCCTTCTCTTCTCCAGGCTGAACAGCCCCAACTTTCTCAGCCTGTCTTCATATGGGAGGTGCTCCAGTCCCCTGATCATCCTCGTGGCCATCCTCTGGACTTGTTCCAATAGTTCCATGTCCTTTTTATGTTGAGGACACCAGAACTGCCCACAATACTCCAAGTGAGGTCTCACGAGAGCAGAGAGGAGCTGACAAGGAGAGGTGCCATGCTTGACCTCGTGCTCACCAGCAGGGAGGGACTGGTTGGAGATGTGGTACTCCAGGGAAGCCTTGGCTGTAGTGATCATGAGATGGTTGAGTTTGAGATCCTCAGGACAGTGAGAAGAGCATGCAGCAAGCTCACTGTCCTGGACTTCAAGAGAGCAGACTTTGGCCTCTTCAGGAGCCTGCTTAGTAAGGTTCCATGGGATAAAGCCCTAGAGGGCAGGGGGGCCCAAGACTGTTGGTTGATATTCAAGGATCACCTGCTACAAGCTCAGGAGTGTTGTGTCCCAACTAGAAGGAAGTGCAGCAGAAGGGCCAGGAGACCTCCATACATGGATAAGGACCTGCTGAGGAAACTTTGAGGGGAAAAAAGAGGCTTATAAAAGGTGGAAGCAAGGACAGGAAGCCTGGGAGGAATACAGGGATGTTGTCTGGGAAGCTAGGGGCCAAGTTAGGAAAGCTAAGGCCCAGTTAGAATTCAACTTGGCTAGGGATGTGAAAGATAACAGGAAAGGTTTCTATAGGTATGTAGGAAATAATTACAGACTATTGACAACATGGGCTCTCTCTAGAAGCTATCAGGAGAACTGGCTACCCTGGATTTGGAGAAGGCTGAGGTTCTTAATGACTTCTTTGACTCAGTCTTCACTGGCAAATGCTCTGACCACAACACACAAGTTGTGGAGGGCAGATGCAGGGATTGTGAGAATGAAGATCATAGGCCCACTGTATGAAGGGATCAGGGTCAAGATCATTTTAACCTGAATGTGCATGAGTCCATGGGACCAGATGAAATCAATCCTTGGCTCCTGAAGGAGTTGGCGAATGAAGTCGCTAAGCCATTGTCCATCATATTTGAAAAATCATGGCAGTCAGGTGAAGTTCCCGATGACTGGGAAAAGGGAAATATAACCCCCATTTTCAAGAAGTGGAAAATGGATGACCCAGGGAATTACAGACCAGTCAGTCTCACCTCTGTGCCTGGCAAAATCTTGGAGCAGATTCTCCTGGAAGCCATGCTAAGGCACATGAAAAACAATGAGGTGGTTGGTGCTATTAGCCTTTCAGTATCTGAAGGGAGCCTGCAAGGATGCTGCGGAGGGACTTCTTCATTAGGGACTGTAGTTATAGGACAAGGGGCAATTGGTTCAAACTTCAACATGGGAAATTTAGGTTAGATATAAGGAATAAGTTTTTTACTGTGAGCTTGGTGAGGCGCTGGAATGGGTTGCCCAGGGAAGTTGTGAATGCTCCATCCCTGGCAGTGTTCAAAGCCAGGTTGGTTGGAGTCTTGGGTGACATGGTTTAGTGTGAGGTGTCCTTGCCTATGGCAGGGGGGTTTTAACTAAATGATCTTAAGGTCCTTTCCATCCCTAACTATTCTGATTCATTTAACTTTATGGTTCCCTCGTACATACCTGTTTTCAGTCACATTGTTTAGGTAGTGTAACGGGAACAAACGTAGAAGGGGAATTTTTGTGTAAAAGCACAAAAGCAGAAGATTAGAGACCAGGTGTTGAATTCAAATTTTTGAACAGGTAATCAAATCTTTGGAAAGGTGTAATGCGTTATTGGGGAAGCCTAAAAGTCAATATTCAAAAAAAGCATGCAGAGTATGACTGTTTATTGAACATGTTTGGACAGAGGTATGGGATGGTGCCTTTGAATGTAGCTTTAGTACCAGAGCAGTAGTCCAGTGGGAGTCTTGGAGGTATTATGTCACTGAATGGAACATTTTCTCTTGTGATACTGTGTACTTTTCTTTGTGTTAGAGAGCAGGTGTAGGGAAAGCAGGAAATGTTTTTATGTTGCTATATTAGGGTCAAAAGCTTTGTGCGTCCATAGAGGAGGGTCAGGCAGAATTTTGAGTCTCTTATCTCTTCAGTGCATTGAGACAGCAGCTCTAGAGAGGAACCTGTGTGGTACTAGTCTCTTGAAAAACAGCTCTGGGCTGTTCTACAGTGTGCCATGCCCCAAGGAATCTTTTCAAAGTTGATGATCAAGGAGTAAGAGATTTGATCCCTGTTTGCTGTAAAAGTCTGTTTTCATGATGGCTTTTTTTCTCTAATAGATTTCCATACCATAGTTGAGACTCTTCTAGTTTATTAATCTGTTTTCCCATTTATAACCTGTCCCATGCTTCTCTGCATCACCGAACACAGTTTGACTCATTTTCTCTTTTAGTTCAGTTCTGCATTTAGTAGTAGGTGGTGAGGGGACTTAAAGTAACCTAGAGAATGTGAATTTAAGTTGCAGTTTATAGAGAAAGCTCTGTAGAAACTGGAATTTTTTCCTTTCTTCTTTCTACCATTTCTCCTTTCTTTCTGGGTATGAACAATATCTCTGATTAATTTGAAAGCTGACTTTCCTGCTTATGATATCATTAGGACATGCTGTCTTGCAATCTTAGACTTTTTTTCATGGAAAAAAAATGCAAGAAATAATTTCACAAGAGAAGCAGAGCCTCTTAATAGAAGTATTTTTACAAGTTGACTGAGATTATGGGACTCGTTTAGTGGATAAAGGAAAGGTTTAACAGGTTTGTAGTTACAACCTTCTTGCTAAGACTCAGGCACTATTGTTCTCTATTCATGTGGTTGCTCTTCCATTTGTTGCTTGTTTTCATAATCTCTGTTATTAAATGTTATTCAGAATGTGAAGTATTAAAGTTGCAAAGTATAAGTTTAATAGATGAGTTTGAGTTTAGTAGGTTTAGAACAAATCAAGAGTATCGCACCTATACCATGAAGAATCACTGGAAAGCTATATCATATGCATTGATAATTTCAAGTGAGACTTTATTTGTATTGTTCTGTAATAAAACACCAAAAAAATTAAACAGTGTCAGGTATGAATACTCCCTTTCTTCTTATTGAATGAGAAGTATTTCCTGACTTCTGTCTTCTGCTTCCCAGGTTGGGGGTGCATTTGCTCCTCCCCTGAAGGATTTGTGCAGGTTCTTGAAAGAAAATCCAGAGTATGGAGTGGCTCCTGACTGGGGAGAAGTTGTAAAACAGTCTGTGAGTATTTGCAGAACAAGATAACCATGGCATGAAATGTATCTTAAAAATCAACAAGGCAAACAGGAAAAAAGGCATGCCAAAAGGCATACTTTTAATTTCTGATATTATATTAAATGTGGAATGTGAGTCAATGTTAGCTTTTTTCTGCCAGCTCAGTTCCCTAAACTGGTTTATTTGGCACATCTGTGAGTAGGAGGAAGGGAAGGACAGTGGCTGGTAACCCCGAATTAGAGATTTGGGTGAAGGCTCTTTATAGAGCCTGTGACTTTCTCATCTCTTAAATGTAGCCTTTGAAGGTTTTTAAGAAAAGTATTAGGCCACAGAATACTTTCTTATTCTTAAAGCTACAGTTGGGAAGATTAAGATAATTTTAAATATTTTATTTTTAATTAATTAAATTTCATTGTGCACTTTTAAGAAATTACTATCCTCAATCAAAATTTTAATCAAGTATTAATACATTTATTTTCTACTACTATTATATAGCTGGTATCTCTTTCATTTTAAGTGTCATTGGCTCAAATGTGGTGTATGGTTCTGAGTTCATTCCCTGTTTGCCTTGAAGATAAGGGCATATTTTGAATTTTAAAAAGTTGTGTTGTATACTGAAAAGGGTTTCTGGGTAACCCAGTTACTCTTCCATTCCATGTGTCTAACAGGAGTGAAGATGGTTTTGTCAACATTCTTGCGAAGTCTGTTTCCTCGCCTACTATAACTCATCAGAAGTATATTTATGCTACACTTTCAGCCTCTGGCAAAGAAATGACCAAGTTAAATCTTTTTTCTAGTTCACTGTCAACAGAACCTGTAATCTTTCTATGAAGTTCTAAATGCCAGTCTCTCCAGTACCCTTGTGGGACATTCTGGTAGAAAAATAGGTAACTAGGAACAGGATTGGACTGCAGTGAATAGAGGTATAAATAACAGCACAATTACTTTTAGAATTTAGTGGTTATGCACAGGGCAGAAAAACAGCATGAGCTCTGAATTCCTCTAGTTTCATTAGGTTAGTTTAAATTAGAGATATTTGCTGAGGGGAAAAAAGAAGGCTCTACTGTAGTATCGAGGTAATAGTTGATCTTGTAATTGCCATTTATAAGAGGAATTTTTAAGACAGTGCATTTCGAAGAGAATGTTAGTATCCACTACAATTCTTTCTTCATTGTTAGGTAGGAGGTCTTACAGAGGTGAAGTAATACTGTGCAAGCACTAAAAAGAAGTGCTCTAAATCTCATTTTAATTGAACTTGAGTCTTCAGTGTTTATTCTTAAGTTTATGGATGAGGTGAAATAAGAGGACGTTAAACAGACACTAGCAGTAATAAAAAGGGCTCAGAGATTGTTGGTGTGTGTACAGTCACACATTTAAATTTGAGTAATTTTTTAGTTAAACTGACAAATGATTTAAATGTTGTAATAATGTAAAGCAGTGCTGGGTTAGATCTTGAATTGAGATTGCTCCTATAATTAGCTATATTTGGCTTGATCTGCAAACAAGCCTCTAGGGATGAGTTATCAGAGGGGCAGAGGGTCTGAGAAGACACCTGTGTGGACCTCACTGTGGAAATGGGTGTTCAGTTGTTTAAGATGTGATAGCACAAAGTCACCACAAATTCCAGTGAGTTGTCTGGAGATCAAGCTGCTGTGCTAACATACCAGCATAATCTTTGATATTGCTACTGTATGCTTGGGTCTTTTGTTTGCTTTTCCTTTTCCATCTTTAAGCTTTCAAAATACTAACAATACCCAATGTGTCTCTTGGAGGGGTTTCTTCCAGAAGGTATGTTTGACCGTATTCTCACTGGACCTGTTGTGCGGGAAGAAGTGAGTCGGCGAGGAAGGCGCCCCAAAAGTGAGATTGCTAAGGCTACAGCAATTTCCCCTGCCACAGGCATATCAGTTAACCCTCTGCTAGCTAACGGACTTCTTCCCACAGTGGATCTGCCCAGTCTTCAGGCTTTACAGCAAAACCTGCAGTCACTGCAAGTGACAGCAGGATTAATGGGAATGCCGGCTGGTTTAACTGCTGGAGGAGAAGCTAAGAACATGGCTGCCATGTTCCCCATGCTGTTGTCGGGGATGGTTGGATTACAAAACTTGCTGGGCATGGGAGGGCTTCTGACAAAGTCTACAGAATCTATTTCAGAGGAAAAAAAGGGAAGTGATTCAAAGGATGCAGATACAAAGAAAGAAAGGACAGAAGACCAAAATACAGATGCTGGTGGTGAAAATTCTGTTTCAAGTTCTCCTTCAACATCCTCTGCTGCTGCAGCTGCCAGTCCCCTCTCTCTTAACCCTTTACTTTTGTCCAACATAATTTACCCAGGGATGCTTCTCACTCCAGGCCTTAATCTTCATATCCCAGCTTTGTCTCAGTCTAATATTTTTGATGTACAGAACAGTGAAAGCAATGATACAAGCTCAGCAAAGCTTACAGAAGAAAAGGAGGAAAATTCAAGGGTCAGAGATGAGGAAGACAAAGAGGGAACAGAACCAAGCTCTCACAATGAAAACAGCACAGATGAGGGTTCAGAGAAAGCAGATGCTTCATCTGGATCTGATAGTACATCGTCTTCATCTGAGGATTCAGATTCTAGTGATGAAGACTGACCCCAGACTCTGCACTTAAATTATAAACTGATTTTGAATTTATTCTTTAATTATTTTGTTGTAAATAACCTAGTGTTGAGTGCATCAGTGATTTACTAACCGAACATTTCAATATTTGTTTAGAAGTGCAAACTGCTTTCAGAGACATTTTGCATGTAATATTTCTTGAAGTTCATAAGTTTCCAAACTTGTATGTACTATCAAATACACAATGGTGTAAAATTACAACAAAATGCATTATAATTTTGTTGGGGGGTTAATTTTATGAAAATGCTCAATTAAGAGCTGTATATTTAATATATTTGCAGTGAACACAGAATACTTTATGCATATTTGATTTAATTTGAATATAATTTTACAGCCTCCTTGACACCTATAATTTACAGATCAAAACTCAGCAATAATTTGGGCAGCTAATGAATGTCATGAAAGCTGTAGAATCTACATCACCATCCATTGCTTTAATTACATGAAAATGCTCTAGTGTTGTGATGCACTACTGTTTCCAATTCAGGTACAAGCGTGTTTAAAAGAAGAAAAATTTTTCCAAATTAGCCAATTAAACTGGCTACCTGTTACCTCAGCTGAGTTAGTTTAGGAAGTTTACATTGGTTTCTATTACTTGTTTTCAGGTTTTGTTTTCTAAACACATCCTGTATATCATGTTAAAATCTGAGTTAAGACTGTTGGGTTTGTTTGTTTTGGTTTTTTTTCCCTTTATTACAACTGTTCTGTTTTGACAGCGCTAAGGGGAACTTAAAGCAAAACCTGTTTTATCTCATACTACTTGACACCATGTAGGTCTATTTAGTTTACACCTTGCAAAGTTTTGGGCTCCCTCTGCAGAATTGCAAGTCCCAAAATGAGGAGTAGTTTCCCCAAGTCTCAGAAGAGGCAGACTGTCATAAAGTGCCACTGAAAAGACCTTTCAGCACCGAATACTTCATGTAAAAATTGTTTGTTTGCTTTGTGTAGATTTCTATTTGTGTCTTACGTCATAAAACCTCCTGGAGTTGCCAGTTTTGATAATGATAAATAAAGTATAGATAGTTTTGAACTCCTTTTGAGTTTAAACTTCTCTGAAGATTTAAATCTGACTAAATATTACTCAAAATCATTATTGGTATATCACTTCATATATTATGCTGAGTTACCTACTGAAGAAAAAGCACTTTGAATAGTAAGGAAGACAAATTATTCCTAGAAACCACAGTAACAGGGCAGAAGGCATCTGTCTAATTCCAAATCCTTAGAACAATTACTATATAAAAATCTGTCTAAGATTTGATATGTGACGATTCCTCCCCCTTCTTAAGCTGCTATTACTCTGTCGCAGTCGAGGCCCAGATTCACATTTACCGAAGTTCAGAGCTGACCGAAACTTCAGTTGACCTTGTCTAAGAATAGGCAAGTATTAAGAGGAAATAGATACAGGTAATAGTAGAAGTCATTGATAAATCTTTACAAAGGGATAAATAAATAAAAAAACACCACAAAAAAAAAAAAACTAAAAAATCCCACAACTGTATATTTTGATATAGTTCCGTTGCTTGCTTGCACAGTAAAACTGTGGGTTTTATTAAGAACTTTACCAATGAAATATAACTTTATGTGCAAAATAACTAGTCCCATGATTAGAAGCAGTATTACATGTAATTACACAATTATACAAGTACCATTTGGATTGTGCTAGTTACATATTTTCCCAAATAATATTCTGATTTTTGGCCCTTTATGCAGTGTCTTAGCAATAGTGAAAATTAAAAACTGCCAAGAGAAGGGAGTAGCAATTCTTCATCATGGGGAAAAAAAATAAAAAATGTAGTACTTCATATTTTGCTGTTTGTAATATAGCACTTTTAATTAACTAGGATGCATCTATGAAATAGCCAAAGTTTTACAAACAGTTATTAGTTTGCTGCTGGAGTATGTCAACAATACCATCACTTCACACCCTTCCCCCTCAAAACAAATCCTAAATCTTGTGACTAAAACCTAATTTATATAATATTTCTGAAAGAAAATATTTTCCTAATTATAGTCAAGTGAGTTTGGTTACCATTCTAGTGATTCTTTCTATGTAATAAGGCAATTGCAGTTTCAATTAACAAAGGCTGGTGTAGATTGAGCGTAATATATTGGATTTATTTTTAATCTGTTTGAACTCGAAGGGAAAAAAATGTCCCACTATCAGCTAAACTATATGCAAATACAGTTGTATAAAGTTAAGGGTTATAAGGAAACCTCAGTAGAATTACATTGATACTGAAGTTAAAATTAAAAGGATATCCAAGGTGATGATAAAGCGTGTGTTGGTAGTTACTAAAAGATCCTTTAGCTGTTATCGCCTTGTATTTCTATCCCTTGTTTCAGGCTTCATGATTCAAGTCTTAGTCCAGGGTTGGTTTTTTTGGACATTTGCAATATTTGCCAGTTGTGTTCTGTGTAGTCTGAATTTGCTTTCTGTAGTTGATCAAGTGTCTTAAAAAGTCATTTGTAATTTATTGAATTACTTTCTATGATGTTCTATAGAGCAAATGGAAGTTTAATTATTTTTTATTAAACATATTCTTTGACTACCCATGATGTCAGCCTCAATATGTGAAAATAATGCTGTTTGTGTAAGGATTAAATCTGTGGATTTCAGCAGCAAAAGTTAAATTTTAGTGTTAAGCTCTAAAATGGAATATTAAGACTTTAAAAAAAAAAAAAAATCAAACCGAGGATTTGTCCTGGGTTCAGCAGTAGCATTCATTTTTCTCCTTAGTAGCTGGTGCAGTGCTGTGTTTTCAACTTTTGCCTGAGAACAATGCTGATAACGCACCAATGTTTTGAGTTGTTGCTATGTATTGCTTACTGTGATCGAGGACTTTTCAGTCTCATGCTCTACGAGCGTGGACAGGCATGGCAATCTGGGAGGAAGCAGAGACAAGACACCTGACCCAAAGTAGCCAAAGCCATACCATGGCACATCATGCCAAGTATTATATAAACTGTGGGGAGTCACTTGGAAGGCCCAGATCACTGCTTGATTCTCCTTCCCATCCCTCTGTGTGGTTCTGAGTTACCGGCTGGGTTTAAACCACGACAGGATGCTTCTCTGGGAATCAATTTCCTATTAGTCTTTTGTCATACAAACAGTGTAAGAAGTTGGTTCCAGCCTTTCAGTAGTTAGGGTTAGAAAGGAGTATATGGTCTAGGTTCTGGTCTAAAAGTTGACTTGACATAATGATGCACCTGATATTCCAGGATGAAGATGGTGGCAGTGGAGTGCCTTTTGAATATTTCTTTTAAAAGTCTGCATTACTAAATCTTTTAATTATGTGCACAGCACTTACTATTGCTATTTTTCATTTATTTTGTGCAAGGTATGGGCATTTCTCCTGACACCGAGTTGTCTCCTGGTTGTCAGATGCTTCCTTGTTCCAACCTATCATTGCACTTGAATGATTCAATGGTCTCATTCTTACTGCAGTCTGAATTTTGTTTTCAGATCATGATCTTTCTGTCTGAGCTGCTGCTTTCTCAAATCTGTACACAGGTGATATAAATACACATACATGCACATACACATATGAGCACTGTTCTCATGTTCTCCTGTGTCCTGGGTTCAGCAGTAGCAGTCAATTTTCTCCTTAGCAGCTGGTGCAGTGCTGTGTTTTTGACTTTCAGCCTGGGAACAATGCTGATAACACTGAAAGAGAACACAGTTTTTGGCACCTAATGTGGGGCTCGAGGAGTTGAGATAACGACAGATCTGACTGGATTAATAGTCACTTGTCACAATGCTGATTTATTGGCTCTCAAATTTGTTTCTCTTGATCTGTTTCAGAATGTTGTAACTTAGAGCAGGTATTTGCTGTGTTAGTGTTTATCAAGTGTGGGGCTTGGGCTAAGGTTCTTGTCTCACTGTACTTCATGGCAATGACTTGTAATACGGGCGGGCTCCAGAAGCAGGGTGGGACGGACGTGGCCGTGGACTTGTACCTGGCCATCCTGCTGCTCTTCACTGTCCTGGCCCTCATCCTCGCCTCCGTCTTCATGAGGCTGCGGGGAGCCGAGGGGGAGCGGCCCCGGGAGCTAGCGGCGGCCGAAGCGGCCCAGGAGAGCGGCCCCGGGGACCAAGCGGCGGCGGGAGCGGGGCCGGAGGCCAGCAGGGAGTGGCATCCGGTGGAGGAGGTCGGGGCGGTCGAAGAGCAGAAGGAGGCGGCTGCTGAGCAGTGGGAAGAGGCGGCTGCTGAGCAGTGGGAGGAGGCGACGGAGGAGCCGAGCCCCCCGGAGGAGCCGAGCCCCGCGACGGCCGAGAGCATTCCCCGGAAGCTGCCCGCCAAGCACCAGGAGGATGCGGAGAGCAAGATATCCCCTTTGGGAGCCTCAGCTAGGTCCAGCCTCGGGCACCCGGGACAAGTGGAGGGCGCAGGAGACCACACAGCATTTCCCAGCAAGGCAGAGGAGGAAGATCTGGACTCAGAAAAAGAGAAGCTGGTGGTGGAATAGCTGGCAAGCACAGCAGCTACACCAGCCCCAGTGACAAGTACAGCAGCATCGTTTTGAATGGCCTTTGGGTACCCTTGGGACTTTCCTGCTGATTGTGATGGGGATTAGCATGTTGGCACACATAAAGAGTGTGTTCTACCCACGACCATTTTGTCTGATCTCAAAAGTTAAGCAGAGTCAGGTTTGGGTCTTGTCTAGGGTTAGACGATGATATAGGAGGACCAGGAGATTTTCCCCAAGGCTGGACAGTCATGAATGGCCAGATGTGTGAGACAGTATGGGCAAGTATCTAGTCCACTGGGCCCCTCCACTGCTCTGGAAGTGTCGGAGATGAAAGGCAGCTGTATGGAGTCCCCAGCGACAAGTTGCAGAAACTGCTGAAGGGGAGGGTGAATTATTTCGGGCCTGGTGGGCCCATGGCACTTCAGGCCATCAGGGCAGAGATGCAACATATAGATGGAATCATGATCGAGGGGCGGACTTAGCAGTGGACACTATTGCCCAGGTTATTCAAGAGTGTGAACACTGCAAACAGCTTCTCCTGCTCTGAAAGACTGTTACAAGAGATGGAGCCCATCATCATGGACCAGATGGACTCAGCAGCTTTATAGGGACTGGTCCATGCACTAAGATAAGAGTGCACTGAGATAAGAGTGATGGTATATTGCAAATGTGGGATCTGAGCATGACATGAATGGTATGGAATAAGGGGTGGATAATGTCCTGGGTTCAGCAGTAGCAGTCATTTTTTCTCCTTAGTAGCTGGTGCAGCACTGTGTTTTTGACTTTTGGCCTGGGAACAGCTCTGATAACACTGATGTTTTTAGTTACTGCTCAAGTGTTTAGTCTGACCAAGGACTTTGTGAGCTTCATGCTCTGCCAGGGAGGAGAGGAAGCTGGGAGGGAGCAGAGAAAGGACACCTGACCCAAACTGACCAAAGAAGTATTCCATACCACAGCACGTCATGCCCAGGATGTAATGGAGGGTTACACATAAGGGCTAGTGCTTTGAGTGGTTGGACTAGGTACTGGTCGGTGCTCGGTCCAGGAGGGGCAAGTTATCAGTCGGCAGGTGGTGAGGTGTTGTATTCTCTTCCCTTGTTATTTCCTTTATCATTATTAGTGGCAGCAGTAGTGATTTGTGTTATACCTTAGTTACTAAACTGTTCTTATCTCAACCCGTGGGAGTTGCATTCTTCTGTTTTTCCTCCCCATCCCTTCGGGAGCATGGGGAGGGCAAGAAGTGGGAGGAGTGGGAGAGCAACTGCATGATTTATGGCTGACTGGGTTTAAACCATGACATCCTGGTTGGGTTTTTTTTCCTTGGAAGTCCTGCAGGTTCTGTAATAGTATTTTTAAATGTATTTTTAGCAGGTCTATTAGAAAATTCATGAAAACTCATAGGTTAAGGAGGGGAAAAAAAAAAGCAAAATAGCGTCTTCTAATTTTGCAGTCCAATCCTCTTAGTCTGTAAATGAAAATATAAGCAGATCAGTTAAACTCTTTCAAAGGAAAAGATGATTAGATGATACAGTCCAGTAACACAGTATTGATGTTCAATTTCTTGCACTCCTTTTAAATTTTTCTTTCAGAAACAGAATCTGAATGATTAGATGAGGTTATTAACAAAGTGTCCCAGGCAAATTCCTGTTCTGTTTGTTGTATCTTGTCTATGAGAAAATTGTTTCTGCCGTGCTTAGTAATTTCAATTATTTTAAACATGAGAAGGCTGTATCAATGTAATGGGGGATTTACACTGCTGTTAGTTGACCAACACTTCACAATTTACATCTACATTGCTGGAATATCGGGGTTATTCTGGTGTCTGTGGAGGAGACTTTTTTGTACCAGTGTAGCTATAGGAGTTTACAAAATGACTCTCCTGCCTCATCTACATGTCCCTTATGTTCTATGCATGGGTGATACCATTCCTTTGTCAACATTCAGAGGAAAAGGAAATAATATCTTTCCAGAATTAAACAGTGAGAAAATCTCAAACACTTTGTTTTGTTTATATTTCTAATCACATTTGTAAAATTACTTTTTTTCTATTTAAAAAAATTACAGCAATGACTTCTGATGGTCAAGAGTCTCTGATGACTCATGTTAACTATCAGTTAACAATTCCCTAAGGAAAACTATTCTTTTAGGAGAAAACTTTTCCTAACTTACTATAATTAAGTACATGTGAGAGAGGTCTTTGAAAATATTGATGATATAGAATCATCATCATAGAATCATTCCATATTAGCATAGAATATATCATAGAATCATAGAATAGTTAGGGTTGGAAAGGACTTTAAGATCATCTAGTTCCAACCCCCCTGCCACGGGCAGGCACACCTCACACTAAACCATCTCACCCAAGGCTCTGTCCAAACTGGCCTTGAACACCACCAGGGATGGAGCATTCACAGCTTCCCTGGGCAACCCATTCCAGTGCCTCACCACCCTAACAGGAAAGAATTTCCTCCTTACCTCCAATCTAAACTTCCCCTGTTTAAGTTTTAACCCATTGCACCTTGTCCTATCACTGCAGTTTCTAATGAAGAGTCCCTCTCCAGCATCCCTATAGGCCCCCTTCAGATACTGGAAGGCTGCTATGAGGTCTCCATGCAGCTTCTCTTCTCCAGGTTGAACAGCCCCAGCTTTCTCAGCCTATCTTTATATGGGAGGTGCTCTAGTCCCCTGATCATCCTCGTGACCCTCCTCTGGACTTGTTCCAACAGTTCCATGTCCTTTTTATGTTGAGGACACCAGAACTGCACACAATACTCCAGGTGAGGTCTCACAAGAGCAGAGCAAAGGGGCAGGATCACCTCCTTTGACTTGCTGGTCATGCTCCTTTTGATGCAGCCCAGGATACAGTTGGTTTTCTGGGCTACAAGTGCACACTGCCGGCTCCTGTTAAGTTTCTCATCGACCCCCAAGTCCTTCTCTGCAGGGCTGCTCCAAATCTCTTCTCCACCCAACCTGTAGCTGTGCCTGGGATTGCTCCAACCCAGGTGTAGGACCTTGCGCTAGGCATTGGGTTTTTTGTCATATACACGTAGGAAGGATGTTGAAATGCATTATAACTCTAGTGGTGTCCGTAAATTATACTGCCTAAAGTTCCAGCCTGGCAGAAATTATAAAAATATTTTGATTGTTGGATTTAATTTTTTAGCCCATGATTTTAGGAACTCTGGAAATAAATACAAATAATTGAGTGAGAAATTTCCACAAAATAGGGTGGGCTGAAGTCTTGAAATGAAGTACATGCAGGTAAGTATTTCTGTTCAGAATAGTTGCAATCCCAAAACACTTTGTCTTAGATAATTTAAATTTTAGCTTCAATTTAGAATATTTCATGCTTTAGCTAACTAACATTCATATTTCTTAAAAAAGGCAACCCCTCCCCCCCAAAAAAAAACCAACCCAAAAACCCAAAAAACTACTTGGCATTAATCAGATCAAGCATGTCTCTACTTAAAAGGAGCTCAGTGATGACAAGTTAAGGCTATGATTTTTTAATTTTTTTTTTAAACTCTGCCTGCTTTTATGCTCTCACACACAAAGAAGGAAGATGCCATTCACAAGATCCTGATGTAAAGTTATTCTGCAAAATGAGGACTTCATTTTCCCTGTGTCCTGGCTTCAGCAGTAGCAGTCATTTTTCTCCTTCTTAGTAGCCTGCGCAGTGCTGTGTTTTTGACTCTCAGCCTGAGAACAATACTGATAACACTGATGTTTTCAGTTGTTGCTCAGTAATGTTTACTCTGACCAAGGACTTTCTGAGTCTCATGCTCTGCCAGGGAGGAGGGGATGTCGGGAGGAAGCAGAGACAGGACACCTGACCCAAACTAACCAAAGGGGTATTCCATCCCACAGCACATCATGCCCAGGATGTAAACTGAGGGCGTTTACTCAGAAGGGCTAGATTGCTGCTCAGGTTGGGCTGGGTATCAGTTGGTGGGTGGTGAGCAGTTGTATCCTCTTCCCTTGTTATTTACCTTATTATTATTAAGGGTGGTAGCAGTAGTGGTTTGTGTTATACCTTAGTTACTGGACTGTTCTTATCTCAACCTGTGGGAGTTACATTCTTTCGATTCTCCTTCCCATCCCTCCAGGAGTGGGGGGAGGAAGGGTGTGAGGGAGTGAGCGAGCGGCTGCGTGGTTAGGCGTTGCCGGCTGGTCTTAAACCACACCACCCTGCCTCTTGTCTGCTTCAACTGTGAACAAGACCCAAGACTCCAAAATTCTTATTAGTGTTACAGGTAAGGTCTGTGTATAAAGGAGCCTGGTTTAGGAAATTCTTGGGATCTTAATGTTGGAGAGACAGTATTACCATCTTCCTTTTTCACCAGTGCTCACTAAAACTGATAGCATGTCCTCCAGCTGTTTATTGTTCTGAGAATAGCTTTTGATTTGGGAACTACTGTGTCAACTCCTCTGATTCATGCTGCTTGAGCTATGTTCGGTTTCTCAAAGCAGGTGGTAGGAACTCAGCTTTTTGCTCATGTTAAGGCAGTTTCTAAGTCCTAGACCCTAAATCAGGTAAGTGTACATGCAGCACAATTCTAACCTAAATCACTGGTCTTCATCAACTGAGGCTTAAGGTAAAATACCAAATGTTGGAAGAGTCCTGTTAGTGGTGCACATAGACAAAATAGCATCAGGAGTATAAGAAGATTGGCTGTGTTGGGAAGGTCCCAGGAAGAATACTGGAAAAGTTTCTGTGGTGTGTTCTTCTCTTTACACAAATACTTGCAGGAGTTGTTTATCTTGGACTTGCCTTATTAGGGAATCAGACTTGTCCTGGTGTGTATCTAGCCTTACCTGGGAGGACACTTCATCTCCCTGCAAGTAGACAATATTGGCCACCATTTCAAAAATTCCTTGTCACAATCTTCACTGAAGACAGCAAAGTCAGGGCCTGTGCTATGCACAGCATTTGTTTGACCTCAAGATTTGCTACCTGTTTCTTGTATTTTGCAAGGAAATGAGAGTTTATTATCAAGGTGTTGTGGTTTAAAACCAGGCAGAGGGCTCGTTCACTCACTCCCCCC